ATATTTATTTTGAATATATTGTCTCCAATAGCCATTTTCTAAGTGAAGCTACTATTACATTGAATAGTGGGGCCACAGCAGTTCTAATGATTTTCTAGTCCAACATATCAAGACACAGGAGGCAAAATCTGTGGTCAGGTTAGATGAAACCCAGTAATTTAGAATATGTTTTTTGAAATGTGGTTTATGTTTCTTAAAACCAATTTTCAAAAAAGCTAATCAAATTAATACAAGCAAGAATATGTTTGAAAGAAGCAATCACCTATTTGATATTAATGTTGTTGTTTTTGTAAATTAAGAAGAAAATATATTGGTTATTGTGATTGTAAGAAACCAAACTGCATATCTTTATCAGTTGGATTGGTTTGTTTTTTTTATTCAAGATTTAAAAAGTTGAAACGTAACAAATTGATTTTGAGAACAATGTGAAAACTTAGTTGGGTTGTTTTATTTGTGATGTGAAAAAGTGAAACTATTTGTATCTGAGGCGACCGCCTCCGTGGTCTTGTGGTAGAGCGTCCGCCCGGAGAGCGGAAGGTCCAGGGTTCGATCCCGGGCTGCGTCATACAAAAAGACGTTAAAAGATTGTACTTGTTGTTACCCTGTCTGGCGCTCGGCATTAAGGGGCTAAAACAAGGACTGGTCAGCTCGGAGTCAGTATACTGTGTCTGAGTGGGGTATTCATGTTAAACTGCGGCATGGTATCTCAGTGAGCTAGCACTATAAATCGGCATCAGTCCGGACTAGTACAAGCAGCCACACACACACATACACGTGCATGCACGTCGCTATATAAGTGCAATAATCTTGGACGCGACGTTAAACCCAATTTCACCTCACCTGTATCTGAGGCAGTCTTACTATAGTCATTCCATTAGCTATTATGGCTCATCTTTCTCTTACTGAGCTGTGCACTCTCATGCCTTGGAGTCACATGAGTTCGCTAGTAATGTCAATGAAATGTATAGTTACCGAAGTCACTCTAGCCTATTGCACTGACTCAACTGCAGTTAAGTTTGATGTGAAAACCCAATAAAAGTGTATTGTTAGTTGTCAGGAAATAGCTTTTGATTTTCATCGTGAATTAATGATGGAAGTACCAGTGTGTATTCAGTTTCTTTAATAAACTCTAATTGCAATATGTTGGGAATTTAATGTGCTTTCAAGAGATATTGACAAAGAGAAAGAGAATGTTTCAACAAGAACCCCCAAACAGCCTCTGTGATTGATCAAGGCTACAATGTGGAAGCTTCCTGTCAGTGTCGCCAAACAGTGGTCGTCATTAATACTGATATTTGAACGTGATATGTTAGGATACATACAAAAAAAAAATTCAAATGAAGTGTACTCCCACATATTTCAGCAAAGTGGTAAATATATACAAGGAAAAGATTCAGGTTTTTGTCTCACAATGAAAAACTATAGCCTCATGGGGTAATGAAGTATTATTTTGAAAGTGGCATTTATCCAAACTCACCCACTCATTCACCCGACTGACAGATGTGTCAAATGTTAAAAGCACTGGACGTTGTAGTCCCAATTCAGATGATGTTTCTCCTGGTGCATGAACATTGCGACTTGACTCTTCGTGATCAAGATGAGTGCTTTGATGTGGTGACACTTGTACTCAGTCTGTGTCTGTAGACTGGATATTGGGGATTACTTTCATTGATTGTCCTCGTTATGCTTCACCACATAAGTAGATATTGATGGATAATGCTTTAGTAGGTCATGTGGCACTGTAATCTGGTGCTTGTTGGTGTTCAGGATAATGCTTACATCATGTGATAAGTTGGACTGAGGGTTTGGTATTTTAGTGTGCAGTTAGTTCACATTGTTAATTGGTTTTGAAGAGAGTAGTATGTTTGATTTAATGGCATTTGTTTGGTACTAAGATGTTGAGGGGATTTATGTTTTAGTATATATAATTAGTTCATAGTTATTTGTTTTCAGGAGAGTGGTATCTGGACATCAATCTTTTCAAGGGTAATAAGATGTCGTTGAGTTCATATTTAGTATTTAATTAGTTCAGTGTTAATTAGTTTTGAGGTTAGTAGTATGTTGATGTGAAAGACTATTTCAACAGGTGTTGAGGTGTGGTATTTTAGTATGCAGTTGGATAGCAATGTAAATTTTCTTTGAGAAAACTTGTAGCAAAAATACATCTTGTGTAGTATTTATTGAGGATGTGTGTTATTTGTTCACGTTAAATTATTCTTCATAATAATAATTTGTTTTTAAGGTAACAGTATGTTGGTATATAACCCCGAAAAATTATTTCAAGACTTTATGTTTGTCCCTGCATTCCTATTTATTATGGAAACTGATTATAATCAACATTCTTAATCAAAATTATGAACAAGTTGTTTAAATATTTTTATAAATAAACATATTAAATTATTATATATTGAAAGATATCCTGCTTGGTAAATGGGTACACTTGCCTTTTCAGAACACCCAGTATAATATCACAGTTAACTCAACATTTTTTTATTTATAGAATCTAAAATTTGAGGAATTGCAAAGTAACATAAATCAAAAACATATTTCACACAACTTCAATTCACTCTAGGTCAGGGGACATTATGCATTGCTCACCATGTCATTCATTGACAAACCTGACGTGACACGCATAATGTGAAATATTGATGTCTAACAGCCTATTTATCACATTACTCTGAAGAAAACTCAATCTATCCAACTTTACTGCTTTCAATATGTGAAGGGATTTCAAAGGAATTCATGTGAAGTTTTACATCATTAATGCAGATCAGATTTTTATGTGGAAATTTATGTGAAGATTGTATGGTATTGGCATGAAGGCCAGCTGAGGTCAAGGTCACAAAGGTGGATTTAGTATATTAACTCATTCCTAAGAAATTGATGTCAAATTAAAATAAATTGTAAATAATTATTTTTTCCCGAAATACAAAAATATATTTTCAAATTTATATCTCCAGATATTTATATTATTTCTTTAACTGAAAAGCAGCCATGAGTCTTCATGTGTTTTTGTAATCCAAAAGTTCCAAAAGCCATTTTAACTTTATAAAGAACCTTACATTTCTTTCGTGCACTAGAAAATGTTTTTAGTGTGGTTTTAATCAATTTCAAACATGCGTGATCTAGAGAATCATGCATGTTGTATCAGTAAGCAAACTGAAGTTCAATTAGATATCTCATCATTTAAAAAAAGTTAGACTATGATGAGTCAGTGTTAGAAGTTTGTATTACAAATTAAGTTAACATGCTAGAGTTCGTGTAGGAAATACAATTTTGTTTGCTGTTTTGAGGTTTCAAATATAATTTAAATTTCATTAAAATATGATAACTTTTGAAATGTGATTTGTCAGTTCCTTTAATTTGGAATCATTTGAGGTTGTTGTTGTTTAAATATGTCAATAGCCCGTTCAGTATTTCTTCATTTCTGGAATAAATGACAAAACATGTGACACAACATGAGACACAAGTGACAAAAATGATGACACATGTGACAAAAATGATGACACAAGTGACAAAAAATGATGACACAAGTGACAAAACAGATGTGACAAAAATGATGACAAGTGACAAAAGGGATGACACAATTGCCAAAACAGATGACACAAGTGACAAAACAGATGACACAAGTGACAAAAATGATGACACAAGTGACAAAAAGATGACACAATTGCCAAAACAGATGTGACAAAAATAATGACAACTGACAAAAATGATGACGGGTGACAAAAGGGACAACACAAGTTTTGCAGGTATAAAGTTACTTGAGATCTTCATTTATTAGAATAAGAATAAGATTAAACCTTTCTAAAAATATTACAAGCTTACTGCTATATGATGAACATTTAGGAATAATGAATTTAAAAAGGACTATTGTAACATGAAAATAACATTGAAATAAATCCTCAATAAATTGAATTATTTCACACGATAGTAATTTCATGCAACATGATCTGATTTGGAGAATATTAATTTAATCCTCTGACAGTTATTTGGAGTCTCTTAGGCATGAATTATTCAGTTCTGATGATTGGAAGAACGTTTCCTAAAATCTGACTGCAGCACATCATGCACAAGGTGCACACGATGCACAACCTAATGATTACAATGAACTGTATTTACACCAGCCCGAGCTGCAGTTTTCCCATCAAGCATTCATTGTGTCCTGCCTGACATTAATACTGTGATTGATGTTGTGGAAGACATGGTGCTGTTGATTACAGATCATTATTCCATGGAGAAGTAGATGGATGGCCATTACAGACTCTCCACCTCTCCACCTCTTTGTTGCGTTGTGATGATACTAGACGTCTGATTTAGTGATCGCCTTTTTTCTTAACCCTTTGCATCCCTTAGACGTGTCAGGATCCTATGACCATGGGTTCTAATCCCAGATTTGCCCTGATTATGATCCATGGTTTGTCTGGTCCATACCTGTGTCAGTCAGAGTCAGTTGTTCATCTTTATTTTCTACATCTGCATTCACATAGAAATATTCTACTTGGCTCCTCTTCACGCATCATCATATTTGCTCACGTGAGACAAATACATTTTTAAACCTTAATTAAATTATGCTAAAAGTGACATCGCTCACTCACTCAAACACTCAACCACTTGCTCAACCACTCATTCAACCCCTCACTCACTCAACCCCTCACTCACTCAACCACTCACTCACTCAACCACTCACTCAACCAATCATTCAACCACTCAACCTCTTACTGGTTTTGTAGAGCTCAAAGAATCTCCCAAAGAAGTAATGACAAAATAGCAAGTTTCTGAAAGATTGGTTTATGGCCCCCGTTTTCCTGGCTGCTGTTTTTCAATGTGCAGACACACACATTACATATTGTGAAGATGAACTGATAAGTGTTTTCTTCCTGCATTACATTTCATCAACAGTAATTTCATCTTTCAGCTGGCACAATATCTGGGTTATCTTACTCTTACAAACTCTATAATCTTGACAATATTGTAAGTTTTATTGTTTTGTTTTTCAGAATGGGAAAGATGCCAACCCAGTTAATCTGGGACCGAGTGAAAAAACAAGGTAAGAGTTCTTATGTTCTGTTTCTCTGTAACATGTCTTCTGGATTTTAAGTTCTATAATGGATGACACAGGCGGATTCAAAGGTGGGGTCCAGGGGTTCACCTTCTAAAACCAAATGTAGTATGTTGTAGGCAGTAGAATTTACTGAGAGCCCACCTTTTAATAACCAAATGTAGGCAGTAGATATTGTCTGAGAGCGCACCTTTTAAAACTAAATGTAGTATGTTGTAGGCAGTAGAATTGACTGAGAGCCTACCTTTTAATAACCAAATGTAGTATGTTGTTGGCAGAAGAATTGACTGAGAAAGGATTTTTGGACCTTTTTGTAATGCTGGATACGCCCATGGATCAATAGGATTTGAAAGTTGGGACTTTGGGAAATAGTATCCATTGGCATAAAACACCTCATAAATGTGTACAGTATCAAGACCATTCAGAGACATCTATTTTTCATGCTGACGAGAGACACATGGCACTGTTTTGTGATAAAACATGCAAGAGTCCTATCCAAATGGGAGTACGCCTTCAACAGTGGAGGGTGCTTTTTTAGTTTCTTTCATTGGACATATGCAATATTAATACTACTCTCCTATCACCATATCAGTTATCAAGGATTGAATATTGTTTTGTTTATTTAAATTTGGATAAGGTGGTTGTAGTTTTGTATTCAAACATACTTTGATCCTTGTTTTGATTTGATTGCACGTGAATATAAACATGCACATATTCATATCGAACCTCACCTTTTTCAGGCATCTTATGTATCTAGCTATCTTGTTGTGTTTTTATTCCCTTTGTGGCATGGGCCTAATGTGAATGCCCTCTTTTTTTTTAATTCTGGATCTAAATCTGGCCCAATATGCTATGAAACAATGGTTTGCCTGGTTCAGACCCGTCTAAATCATGGCCACCCTGATATATATGTAATACTGACATTAAACATAAACTACCGACTCACTTATCATACAGTTCATCATGATTGCATTGTCCTGTCTTCATTCACAAGTACATTTATCGTTTTTCAGTGTTCGTCCCAGCGACTTTGAATTCTTGAAAGTCATTGGCAAAGGTAGTTTTGGCAAGGTGCTGTTAGCCAAACATCGTGTGGAGGCTAAAGTGTACGCTGTCAAGGTGCTCCAAAAGCAGGCAATCATGAAGCGCAACGAGGTGAAACACATCATGGCGGAGCGGAATGTGTTGTTGAAGAACGTAAAACACCCCTTCCTCGTCGGCCTCCACTACTCCTTCCAGACCCCCGACAAACTCTACTTCATCCTCGACTACGTCAATGGTGGCGAGGTAATTCAATGATAGCTTTTTTCGGTTTGAAGTAGGCGTCATTTTGTTTATGTTAAGGCTGAGAATCCCATGAGAGTTTGAATTAGACAGTTGAGACAGTGCTAATAAGATTAGACTCGGGGAAAACAGATATTGTCTTGCTCCCTTCTCTGCCTTCATCTTGCTATGGTGTTGGCAGAGTGGTGCAAGCACTTGCCCATTATGCAGACAGGGAATGGACAGCTTAGCTCTGGTTGTGAGTTTGAATCCACATTTATCCAGATTATAATCCTTGGTCTCCAAGCAGGGAAAAGTTGTCAAGGCCTGGTTGGCCTCCCAGCAGGGAAAAGTGGTCAAGGCCTGATTGGTCTCCGGGCAGAATACTTGTGCTGGTCAGTTTGAGTAAAGTGGTCAAGGCCTTGTTGGCCTCCGAGCAGAATACTTGTGCTGGTCAGTTTGAGTAAAGTGGTCAAGGCCTGATTGGTCTCCGGGCAGAATACTTGTGCTGGTCAGTTTGAGTAAAGTGGTCAAGGCCTGGTTGGCCTCCGAGCAGAATACTTGTGCTGGTCAGTTTGAGTAAAATGGTCAAGGCCTGGTTGGTCTCCCAGCAGAATACTTGTGCTGGTCAGTTTGAGTAAAGTGGTCAAGGCCTGATTGGTCTCCGGGCAGAATACTTGTGCTGGTCAGTTTGAGTAAAGTGGTCAAGGCCTGGTTGGCCTCCGAGCAGAATACTTGTGCTGGTCAGTTTGAGTAAAGTGGTCAAGGCCTGGTTGGCCTCCGGGCAGAATACTTGTGCTGGTCAGTTTGAGTAAAGTGGTCAAGGCCTGGTTGGCCTCCGAGCAGAATACTTGTGCTGGTCAGTTTGAGTAAAGTGGTCAAGGCCTGGCTGGTCTCCCAGCAGAACACTAATGCTGGTCAGTTTGAGTAAAGTGGTCAGTGCCTGGTTTGAATCCCAGGTTTTGTTCCTGTTATGGTTGATGGTTTGTCTGCACCATGCCTACATTTGTCAGTTTTACATCAGTCAGGAGTTTCATCACACCTCCATCTCTCTCAAAACATTTTCAAAGTTATATTAAGGGACAGTGGGTAGCCTTATGGTACAAGTGTTGGTTCGTCTTTCCCCACATTGGTACAGTGTAAAAGCCTATTGTTGTGTCCCTTGCCATCATATTGCTGGAATATTTCTTGAGAGGTATTTTATGTTTATATTGTATCTGTTTAAATTAGCTTTTCAAGGCATCTGTGAACATTAAGTGTTGATGTATATGATTCACATACATGTTTGGTTCGTCTGCTTATTTGGTGCAAGAGGCGACTAACAGTATCGGGTGATCAGGCTGGCTGACTTGTTTGATCATGTCAGCGTACCACAATTATGTAGATGGATGCTCTTGATGTCAGTCACTGGATTGTCTGGTTCTGACTAGATTATTTCAGACCACCATCATATAGCATAACAACAAACATAAAAACAAACAAACAAATTTATCTGGGGTATTCCTTCATTCCCAGAAAGGAGAGAATACACATAGTGAAATTCTTCAACTCTACGTATTAATTTATCATGGCCTTAGCTGGATCTTAACACTGACACATTGATACGAAAGTAGGACTAAATTGATTTCAAGTAATTTATGGTGTGATAGGGTCATCAATTTGAAGGCTATAGTGTTGCTAATGGTTACAACCAGATTTACATGAGGTCAGTGGTTTTTATTTGTTTGTGGAGCTATCCAGTTGTGTTCCTGGTCATGTTTTGATAAAGCGATTGCAGAATTTACCAGGGACAATCCATCATGTCTGAGTGGTTTCATGTGTGTATCTACATGATGTGTAGCCCGAAGCTGCAGGCCTCATTCAATACTGGCTGCAGAATTTCTGTGTGATAATGGTCTTGTTAATAAAGAAGGTGTTTGGGGGATATCTGGCTGTGTGTTTTTAAAACACACAAGCACACACACACACAGACACACACACACACACCTTAGTTACCTATAGGAATTTAGCTATTACAATGCATGAGGTCTTCAGCAACCCATGCTTGCCATAAAAGGCGACTGTGCTTGTCGTAAGAGGCGACTAACAGGATCGGGTGGTCAGGCACGCTGACTTGGTTGATACATGTCATCGTATCCCAATTCCGTGGATCGATGCTTATGATGTCAATCACTGGACTGTCTGGCCCAGACTCGATTATTTACAGACCGCCATCATATAGCTGGAAAATTGCTGATTGCGGCCTTAAACAATAAACAAACAAAAAAACAAAACATATGCAGGAAGCTTGAATCAGGACAAATCTGGGAAATCAGGAGAAGGCATAATCTGCCTGTTTGATAGAGAGCAAGGTTGCTGTTTTAGGAGGCCTAGAGTTTTGGTCTTTCTTGGATTGAGTTATTCCGGTGGTTGGTCGGCAACCAAGTATTGGTTTATCTGTAGGCATGAGAGCATAAGATAGTACTGCATGCTAATAGACTAGAATAATGGTGATGAAGTCATTCAGAAGATGTTAGCGAGGAAGTCTAGGAGCAATTTGGCCACCATCTTCAAAGCAGTCAGTGCCGTAATGAAACAGATATGCCGCTATAACATCTTGAGGTGATGGTATTGCTGCATGTTTCGCGGTGCCAGCTGCTCTGATTTAGCTCATGTTGGTACGTGCATTGTCAACTGCAATTGATGGCTTGCAGGAAGGTTTTGGGATTCTTATACAACACTCTGCAAGGAGGCTTGTAGTGTCGGCCATTTTATTACAGGGGGGTTGGGTCAGAGATTTTTGAAGTACTGAAAACAATTACCTTCCTCTACTGCTTGTCATGACTCAACCACTCACCAGACACCGTCCAACTCCTAAAATTTGTAAACAGTAGTTTGCTGCATTTACCTTTCTTTTCACATCCTATTTTCTTTAGCCCTGGTACTGATTCAATCACAAGATGTTTCCATCATATAAAACCCCATACCACAAATCAATTTACATTCCAACTGTGATAAGTTTGTTATAATTCTTCTCATGGTAGTTACGAAAATGGTGGTCTAAGATAATTTTGTGGAATGAGGTAAGATTGATGATTTCTTTAATTGTTTGATTGTCATTACTTAGAAGTTGATGGATGACAAAGTAGACACAATTGATGTGTAACAACCTCTTTATTTAATGTCAAGCGTTGCTTGACAACGGTATAAGGATCTTAGCCGAAATGTCGCCTTTACAGTAAATAAAGAAGTTGTTACCCATAAATTGTGTCTACTTTGTGATAATATATATGTTATAATGCAGGTTAACATTGTATTAGTCGCTATGGGTACTATTCTATTTGGGGGCATGCGTGGCCTGTCGTCTAAGACGCCGCGATTCTCTGTGCAGAGTTGCGTCCCTTAGGCATGCCGGAACCTATGATTGTGGGTTCGTATCCTGGTTCGTCCCCATTATTTTCTAGGTTTGTCAGCACCATACCTGTGCTCGTGGGTTTCACCAAAGTGTTAAACCTTTGAGACCTGCTTTCCTCCCACATTAAGCTGACATGCCGTGATATAACTGGAATACTGTTAAAAGCAGCATTAAACCCAACTCACTCACTGACTATTCTATTTCTGTCACATGGGTCAGACAAACATGGACATCAAAGAAATACATCAATATGAATACTTAGCAATACAGCCGGTTTGTTGTTCTGGACTGATACAGGTGTGCTGGCACTGATATCCTGTTTATTGTTTTTCAGTTGTTTTTTCACCTGCAAAGGGAGAGATACTTCCCTGAACCACGTGCCAAATTTTATGCAGCAGAGATGGCTAGTGCAATAGGTTACCTGCATTCCCTTAATATCATATACAGGTGAGTTTGTTGTTATTGTATATATATAATACCTGCATTCAAATATTTTTGTTTGCATTTTCTTAAAGTCATATTCAGGTGGGATACCTGTGTTCACTTTGTGTCATATTCAAGTGAGATACCTGCATTTCCTTATAGTCATTTACAGGTGAGACACCTACAGTACCATATAATATGTACTAGCTTACCTGGATACAACATGGATCATAAACATGAAAAGAGAAATTGAGTAAACAACTAATTAATGAAGACATCTGAATAAGTTAGGTGATTAGAAATTTTCAAGAAAACATTTCTGAGGTACTTGGTGTTTTCTGTGTTAATTTGATGTTTGTCAAATGAATATTTCAACTTGCGTTCAGTATGTACTTAGATTTCTATATGTACCTCCTTAAAGCTACACATTCATTCTTAATACATATTATTTTCATTTTTCAGAGATCTCAAGCCAGAAAATATATTATTAGATTCCGCGGTAAGTCTGTTGCCACACTAGAGTAAGTGCGTGAGTATTGTTTTACTCCGTTTTTTTGCAATATTTCAGCAATATCTCTGAGGGGACACAAGAAAAGAGCTGCACTGCCACACTAGAAACATACAGACATGAATAAGGATAGCAAATGCATTTGAGACACTTTTAAAATGAAGAAATAAAAAGACCTGCAAAATAAACCGTAAATAAACAATTTCACATGTCAAACCTTTTTTTATGTCAAGTGTTTGGCACTGTGTGGCAGTTAATATAATTCAATAATGATAAATACAAGCCATGTTATGAAATTGTTCCTTCAATAATCAGTGATAAGCTTGACACGTAGGAAGTGCATGATTTATTTTGAGCCTACTGAAGCCATGGTAAGGCTGCCCACAACTGTCTAGGTGCCATGCTTATTGGCAGGGATTAGGAAGTGATCTGTAGATTGTGAAACGAGATCTGGGGGAGACACTTACTCTTCAGTATGACGGACACATCCAGAATCCACTGTCCTTGTGATTCATGGATTTTTTCTGTGACCTTGTTTACTTGCGTGAGGGAGTGTTGTATAATGGGAACACAACTGAGTGAGGTAAAGCCAATCAGTTCGCTTGATGAAATGTCTGAGAATGTGAGTGAGTATGGTATTATTAGATATCATTTAAGAGGACCTTCTTTGTTTGTTTGTTTGTTGTTTAACGCCGCACTCAGCAATATTCCAGCTATATGATGGCGGTCTGTAAATATTGGAGTCTGGATCAAATAATCTAGTGATTGACATCATGAGCATCAATCCACGCAATTGGGATACGATGACATGCATCAACTAACTCAGCCAGCCTGACCACCTGATTCTGTTCGTCGCCTTTTACGAAGGACCTTGAGATAGAGACTAGTATGAAAATTTCTTTATATATATCCATTTTAATAGCATACTTTTTTTTTAAAGGATCTGTTTGGGGTGGGAAGTATTTCTAATAAACTAAAGAAGATGTTATTCTATAGCAGTGAGGAGCGAGTATGGTGTGACACCTCTCTTAGCAATAATTCAGCAATATCACGTCTGGAAACATCAGAAATGGGCTCCACATAACTTACCCATATGGCATCATAGGCCAGTTATGTTATTCATAAGAGCTGACACATTTTGATTGGGTAGTTTTAAAATTCATGATCGGTCTGGACATGTTTTTGCCACTCATGCTATCAACCACTTGTTTGCCTGACCCCGACTTCATTGACAGGCATCCTTATATATACAACTCAAATCACACGCCACAACGGTTAACTATAGTAAAATGAAGGAGTCAGGTATTCTTTAACTTTTTTTGAGTAGTATTGCTATAAACAACATATAAACAACACTCACTCACTCACTCACTCGACCACCTGTCTTTCTTCCACATAAAAACTACTCACTCACTCTCATGCATATTCAGATCAGTGTTGATAATATGGCAGATACTAGCCACTGAAAATAAATAGCTTCATGGAAGTTAATTAATAACTACTGCCAGTTTTTTAGACAGCATGCCACAAGCTCGGAACCTGCGTGTGATCCCATCACATACGTGACCTTGAAAAGATGAGGTGTCAACATTCAGAAAATTGGCAATATCTATGCATAAGACCTAGGTTGTTAAGCCCCCATAATTTGCCAATATGGGAGAGGAGTGGGAATGAAACTGACATGGGCTCCATCCATCGCCATCTATTGCCCCGCATATGCCACTCAGGGCTGATTAGTGAAACCATGGCTCACTCACATCAGCCTTCAGAAGAGTTTATCATCTTAGAGTGTGCTCATTTGTACATAGGGACACGCGGAGCCCAGTCCTCTAAAGCCCTTCATTTCGCTGTGCAGAGTTGCGTCCCTTGGGTATGCCAGGAACTTATGATTGTGGGTTCAAATCTTGGTTTGCGCAGATTATGTTTCGAGGTTTGTCGGCACCATACCCGTGCTCGTGGGTTTCACCAAAGTGGTAAACATCTTAAACCTGCATCACTTCAAGCTTTCCTCCCACATTAAGTTGACATGGTGTGATATAACTGAAATACTGTACAAGAGCGTTAAACCCAACTCACTCACTCTTGTCATCTGAACGTAGTGTAGGTGGACTGTATGTATGGAACGATGTCATGGGTTTCTTGCATAGAGGGGTTTCTCTGATGCACGAATCCTCATATTGGGCATGATGGGACATATAACTGAGTCCCAAATACGACCCTTTTGTGTTACATTATACACAAATAGATTCTGAAAGGGTTCTTCATAGTGGCCACAATCTGACATACATCATAAATGACTCCCATATTCAACCCATCTGTGTCCAGACACAAATACATCCTGCTGTCACATCTGCATCCAACATGGGCTAATGATTTTTAGTATCTCGTCATCTTTTTTTGTTTAATTAATTTCATTGGAGAACTAAAACATGAATATATATTAAATGTGAAATAATGAACCAGCATGTATCTGGTATGATAAGATTGCACCATATGATTTACAATATATTCCATATGAATCATCATGGCCCTATAGACTGCCTCCGTGGTCTAGTGGTAGAGCGTCCGCCAGAGAGAGGAAGGTCCAGGGTTCGAACCTTGTCAGCGTCATACCAAAAGACGTTAAGAGATGGTTCTTGTTGTTACCCTGTCTGGCGCTCGGCATTAAGGGGCTAAAACAAGGACTGGTCTGCTTGGAGTCAGTATACTATGTCTGAGTAGGGTGTTCATGTTAAAGTGCGGCATGGTATGTAAGTGGGCCAGCACTATAAATCGGCATCAGTCCAGACTAGTAATAGCAGCCACACACACACACACAAACATGCATGCATGAGTAATAATCTTGGACGCGACATTGAACCCCATCTCACCTCACCTTATGGCCCTGCGGTGGCTAATGAGTGAGTGAGTAAATGAGTATGGTTTTATGCCGCTTTAAGCAATATTCCAGCAATATCACGGCGGGGTACACCAGAAATGGGCTTCACACATTGTACCCGGGTCTTCGGCGTGACGAGCCAACGCTTTAACCACTAGGCTACCCGACCGCCCCGGTGGCTAATGAACACATTGGGGTTCTCCTCTGCAGCCTGTTGCCCATATGTAGTAGAGGAATTGTTGAGGTAGTTAGTGCCTGGTTTGAAACTGAAACATAGGATAGGTCTATGTCATTAGGGAAACCAATAACTGTGAAACTGAAATGAATGATAAAATTTAAGTGAGGGATTTATCTAGATCTGATTAGAGGTCAAGTTTCACCTGAAGTGTGCCGAAATAAGTCAATATAATGTTTAGTTTTACATGATTGCATTGAATGCAGTTTACTAATACCACTGCATTTTAAGAAAAACAAAGATAATTAAATTCAAATTTCGAGGAGAAAATCCCGATTTGCCTGTCAGGGGTAATTATGTTGGTGAATCATGGAAGGTTGTGTTTGAATGACTTGATCAATCTTCCTGGGACTGGTAAATATTGAAGAACAGGTGCCCCTTTAGTATAACACTTAATGCATGCAGTGTCATAATGACAGGTATGTTAACCATGAAGGATTGTCAATACATATTGTTTGTTACAGCAGCATGTAGGATGTTCGTTGTGTCTCAGGGGCGGTGGGGTAGCCTAGTGGTTAAAGTGTTGGCAGTTAATGGACAGTGCCTTGAACAATTTGTTCAACGCTCTCAATGCTGCTGTCGAACCCATTCCACAGACGCATAGATGTAGGACACACCCAAATGAAACTTGCTCTAGCTGTTTAACGTGTAGGCTTTGCATATCATTTAAGTTACATGTGAAATGCATAAATGCTCAGCTTGCAAAATGTCAAATTTTCAGTAGTTATTTACCTCAAAAAGAAAACCTTGTGAGTAAAGAAAGTACCCGGCCTAATTTCTGGCATTCTTCTTAGCCTTGGTATGAGTGAAAACATCAGGATATTTTTACATAGTAATGTGTAGTTTTCTATCTGGAATAAGTGTGCAAAATATTTCTTCAATTGTCCCTTGTTTAATGAAGCACCGACTGTTTGAAATCGTCCACCCTCTTTACAGTGCCCTAAAACAATTCAGCCGGCTAAAGGTTAAGCGATATAAATTGTGAAGAATATACTGCTTAATTTATTGTCATGTAAAATTCCTGTTTTCATGATGTTGTTTGTGTTGTTTCAGGGTCATGTAGTATTAACAGACTTCGGACTGTGTAAGGAAGGAATCGAAGGCATGGGGACGACTTCCACGTTCTGTGGCACTCCAGAGGTGAGTGGGTCATACAAGTTCCTTTGTCTGTAGCCAGTAGGGTACTCGGGTACCTGGGTCGGGCGGGTACTGAGTAGGACCTGGGTACCCACTAAGGCTGGTACATGTAACTCGGGTACTTGGGTCAGGTGGGTACTGAGTAGTACCTTAGTACCCAGTAGGGCTAGGACGTGTAACTTGGGTACTTGGGTCAGGTGGGTACGGAGTAGTACCTGGGTACCCACTAGGGCTGGGACGTGTAACTCGGGTACTTGGGTCGGGCTGGTACTGAGTAGTACCTGGGTACCCAGTAGGGCTGGGATGTGTAACTCTGGTACTTGGGTCGGGCGGGGACTGAGTAGGACCTAGGTACCCACTAGGGCCGGGACGTGTAACTCGGGTACTTGGGTCAGGTGGGTACTGAGTAGTACCTGGGTACCCACTAAGGCTAGGACGTGTAACTTGGGTACTTGGGTCAGGTGGGTACTGAGTAGTACCTGGGTACCCACTAGGGCTGGGACGTGTAACTTGGGTACTTGGGTCAGGTGGGTACTGAGTAGTACCTGGGTACCCAGTAGGGCTGGGACGTGTAACTCGGTACTTGGGTCAGGTGGGTACTGAGTAGTAGGGCTGGGACGTGTAACTCGGGTACTTGGGTCGGGCTGGTACTGAGTAGTACCTGGGTACCCAGTAGGGCTGGGATGTGTTACTCGGGTACTTGGGTCAGGTGGGTACTGAGTAGTACCTGGGTACCCTCTAGGGCTGGGACATGTAACTTGGGTACTTGGGTCGGGCGGGTACTGAGTAGGACCTGGGTACCCACTAGGGCTGGGACGTGTAACTCGGGTACTTGGGTCAGGTGGGTACTGAGTAGTACCTGGGTACCCACTAGGGCTGGGACGTGTAACTCGGGTACTTGGGTCAGGTGGGTACTGAGTAGTACCTTGGTACCCAGTAGGGCTGGGACGTGTAACTTGGGTACTTGGGTCGGGCGGGGACTGAGTAGGACCTAGGTACCCACTAGGGCCGGGACGTGTAACTTGGGTACTTGGGTCAGGTGGGTACTGAGTAGTACCTGGGTACCCACTAAGGCTAGGACGTGTAACTTGGGTACTTGGGTCAGGTGGGTACTGAGTAGTACCTGGGTACCCACTAGGGCTGGGACGTGTAACTTGGGTACTTGGGTCAGGTGGGTACTGAGTAGTACCTGGGTACCCACTAGGGCTAGGACGTGTAACTTGGGTACTTGGGTCAGGTGGGTACTGAGTAGTACCTGGGTACCCAGTAGGGCTGGGACGTGTAACTCGGTACTTGGGTCAGGTGGGTACTGAGTAGTACCTGGGTACCCAGTAGGGCTGGGACGTGTAACTCGGGTACTTGGGTCGGGCTGGTACTGAGTAGTACCTGGGTACCCAGTAGGGCTGGGATGTGTTACTCGGGTACTTGGGTCAGGTGGGTACTGAGTAGTACCTGGGTACCCTCTAGGGCTGGGACATGTAACTTGGGTACTTGGGTCGGGCGGGTACTGAGTAGGACCTGGGTACCCACTAGGGCTGGGACGTGTAACTCGGGTACTTGGGTCAGGTGGGTACTGAGTAGTACCTGGGTACCCACTAGGGCTGGGACGTGTAACTCGGGTACTTGGGTCAGGTGGGTACTGAGTAGTACCTGGGTACCCACAAGGGCTGGGACGTGTAACTTGGGTACTTGGGTCGGGCGGGGACTGAGTAGGACCTAGGTACCCACTAGGGCTGGGACGTGTAACTCGGGTACTTGGGTCAGGTGGGTACTGAGTAGTACCTGGGTACCCAGTAGGGCTGGGACGTGTAACTCAGGTACTTGGGTCAGGTGGGTACTGAGTAGTACCTGGGTACCCACTAGGGCTGGGACGTGTAACTCAGGTACTTGGGTCGGGCGGGTCTTCTGACTTTCATATGTTTGAATAAAGATGAAGCTTCAGTCATCTTCAGAGAATGCCTCACCAGATCGTTTCATACGTGTATCTTAATACATATTGCCAGGGATACGGTCAAACTATTCCCAATCGGACATTTTTTACCCATCTCTTGAGACCTCCAGCGGGTACCCGGGTAGAGTAGGGTATTAGGGAGTTAGGTACCAAGGTTGTAATTTTGGACTCGTCCCAGCCCTAGTACCCTGCACAGTTGGCGCTGAGTTGTCCAAGATGTTGCAGTTTGTTGTAAAGGGTTTCGTAACTTATGTGTGCTGGAAACCTATTACCGAGGGTTTAGATCTTGTTTGCCTGATCATGTTTCTATGTTCCTGAACACTATTCCCACGTCCATGGGTTTCACCAAAGTGGTAAACATCTTCAGACCTGCAACATTTGAGGCTTTACTCAAGCATGATGCTGACATGCTGTGATATAACTGGAATACTCGCCAAGCAGTACTCACTCACTCACTCACTCACCCACCCACCCACCCACCCACCCACCCACCCACTCACTCACTCACTCACTCACTCACTCACTCACTCACTCACTCACTCACTCACTCACTCACTCACTCACTCACTCACTCACCCACCCACCCACCCACCCACCCACCCACCCACCCACCCACGCACCCACGTACTGTTACCCATTTTGTTGTCTGACATATTTATTCCTCATTCCATCAACTGTTATACATTTTACATCTTTCTTTTTATGACCATGTTTGATATTACCAGATAATATATCTATTATTATTTAGAACTTGATCAAGAATTTTCAAAACATCAAGTGAGCTACAGAAGCTTTATTTTTATCAATACCAATTTTGGCCCTTTAACTTTTCAATGAATTTATGAAAAAAATACATGCCACCGCTATTTCCACCTTATTTCAAGAGTTTTTCCACCCTACATGAACCCTTCCAGCTCTTCTTCATCAATACTTTACCTTATTTCCACTTGGTAATAGAGACTGACCGACTCGTCAAAGGCTTGTGTCTCTGTCGAGTCACGCACACCTAAACATGACACAAACATTAGGCGAGCAGGTTGTTAGGTGGAGAAGGGAAAAGTTTTCTATGCATGTTGAACTAAACTTCTGCACTATTTTTGGCAGCAATCACATGTACGTGCACATTATTTGTAAATTGTCGTTTGAGATCAGAGACAACAGAAATGCATTAGCAATGTTGGTTGAGATTAAATACAAATACTGAAGTCATGATTCCTTCTACCCTTCCCATTAATTTTGTGAAACACATTATTCTGCCTGAAACTAATCAATCATGTTTTGAGAGACAACATGCAAGTGATGAAGAAAGATTACTGCCATTTTCCTTCCGAAATTAATGTACGTAGTCCCACAATTTCAGAAAAAAATGTGGACAACAGACAGTCCTGTAGTTATTGATTCGGGCGCCTGGCAAAACTGCCAATAAGCTCTCCAATATCGATGGGAGATGTATGAAGCATCATCTTCGCTGTGTGTGGTCCGAACATGACCAGGAATGCTGGATAAACACATGTCACTTGTCTCGGCTCTAAATTCCCCGTGACAGGTTGCTGCGTGTGACGTCAGTGGTGGCGTGTGACATAGTTGAACAAAGGCCCCTGTCATGTTTGTACCTGATCTGATTGCAGCAGTGAGAAGTGTCACCTCCCCAACTGAAGCCAGGGTAGCTAATTATTCTGTATGATTGTGACAATAGTGCTCACACGATGACGTCTTGACGTCCCCCAGATTACCTCCATGAGCAGTGTAGGCAGAATGACGTGGGTCACTGATCAGTTATGGCAGCACTTTTATTTTGGGTTTTCTTTCGCGAAAAATTAATTTCCGCAATAATCTGAAAATATGTCCCTCATAAAATCAGTATTCATGAAAGTTATTCATAATTATTAACAGAATGGAATTATAATTGAATAGAAAGATACATTTATAGGAAAGGATTCCTATTATCGGAGTGGTTGTATTTGCAATGCTTCTATAATGTTGCTGCTCTCGAGATATCTTGGCATTATTGCATTTACAGGTGGCATATTGGTATAAGTGCATAGTCTATTTATTTAGGGATTTCAAAATGCATTTCCAACTTTCCTGTTAAACCTTTTCTATCTGTTAGGATTTCCATTTTTCAAAAAGATACCTTTTTTTCTGAAGACAACATCGGCTGTAATTATTGGTGATTCTCTACATTTAAGAACTATTCTTACTTAAAGGATGAAAGGGAAAACTGGGTCTTAGTCTACACAGCTAAATGGCGGATGTAAGTTTGTACAGTGTGTAAGTGTTCCTGATAAAATAGTAATTTCAGATACAATTTCTTCCGACCATTGCATCAGATTTCTTTAAAGTGGTATCACTGGGTACGTTTCAACTGAATCACCGGTAGATTGGGAGGAAACGTGTGCACAGCTGATTGCTATTTCCGGCTTAGTTTACGAAAGAATACACACGGTAATCTTAATCTCTGCATATAAAACAATGCCTTTGAGAGCAGGAAATACATTTTAAAGGGTAAATCATCATGTCTAGTGATGTTTTATATCAAATTTCATACTTTTATTGACCAAGTTTGTTATAGATCTACCTGTTTATTCACCTGAAGGGATACGATGTGTTTGTTTTTTTGAAAGCGCATATTATACTTGATAATACTTTTTTTACACTTTGAATCATAAATAATTTCTATTCTAATCTTTTTTGAAACTCTGAAAGGTGCAACGTAGATCGTGTTAGGTAGGCAGAGCATGTATACTGTTTTGTTGGCCATCTACCACCTACGACTCAACCTTCGTTAAACTGCTGATCATCTATAACGCTCATCAATTATTTGGACCCCGAAGGTAGCGTTGTAGTGAGGGATCACTGTATATGCAATAATCGTACACTGACATTGTGCACTATAGTTAGTCACGACCAGGCTGGTGTAGGATCACTATGAGTCAATCTCCAGCTCCCGTTGTCTGTACACTCTGGTGTGGCTGTTCAGTTGTGAGTTGCATGTGTCAATAATAGGGTGCACACGACTTTACACGCTGGAAGGGCTTTTACCTCTCAAGATCAAAGGTCGAGGGTTGTACATATGCTATATAGCATGACATATAGTGGAATTAGTCAAAAACGGACTCTAACTAAGTCGGATTTCTGTCAATGCCAGACCACGTAGTGTCCCTGATTTACTACATTGATGTATGCCTTCAACCTGATCTGTATTTCCTATTTCGGGGGCATGAGTGACCCAGTCAGCTAATGCACCACAATTTGCTTTGCAGAGTTACGTCCCTTGGGCACACCAGAGACCAATGGTCATGGGTTCAAATCCCATTTCATTCCACTATGTTTCTAGGTTTGTCAGCACCATACTGGTGCTCATGGGTTTCACCAAAATGGTAAACATTTGAGAGCTGCATCACTTCAGGCTTTCCTCCCACATTGAGCTGACACGCCATGGACCCATGAAGATGCTGATTAGAATAGGCCTCCACAAGGCGACTATGCTTGTCATAAGAGGCTACTGACGGGATCAGGTGGTTAGGCTCGCTGACTTGGTTGATGCATGTCATCGTATCTCAATTGCTCGATTATTTACAGACAGCCGTCATATAGCTCGAATATTGCTGAGTGCGGTGTTAAACAAGAAACCAACAACAACAAATGACACGCCATGATATGACTGGAATACTGTTCAAGCGATGTTGAAGCCAACTGACTCGCTCAATGTTTGCTATTTCTTTACGTTCTCCTATGATCTCATCATGTTCCTGGTGCGAATTATACCTAACTCCCCTGCCACAATACAATCAGTCAATATCTGTAAATGCCAAACATGCTCAGTAAGCAGACGGGAAACTTTTTTCTGTTGTTCACAGTGTCTGGCTTTCCTAATGACCACAGTATTTTCAATCATGTGAGAGAACCAAAAAGAGCTTAGTAGTCAGATTGGATATGGATGTAGATGTAGTTGTTGCATGATGCGTCTCATCTTGTCATGATGCCTCCAACAATCCTACCTCACCCCCATACTCTGAATCACCCACGATCTGCTCTCCTCAGGGTCACAAACAGGAAGAGAGATTGGCAGTGGTAAAAATGTGGGGCACTTCTGCCCTGCCCGTGACAGAAAAGTGGGTTCATTTTCTTCGTTTGGGAGCCATTTCAAAATGAAACTAAGGAAACAAATGCAACCACTTTCCTTGGAATAAACTTTTAGTCTGAGACAATGTTTGCCATAGTGAAAGCAGAGCTGTCATCTACTGCCTAAACAACTTGCTATTCAGGTTACTTACTTTAAGAGTTAATATTTGACCTCAGAACTCCATGGTGTTATGCTTGACTTGCCACCTCAGCATCTTTATTCCAAAACTTGTGTGGAAATAAATTTAAAATGTCTTGTAACCCTTGTCAGCCCCTTTATTTGGACAATAATATGATATGACCATAAAGAACTCAACTCATATCAGTGTAAGCCAATCATAAGCCTTGTGAACACCAGTTAGTCAAGTAAGTGAATTATTCTATGTACATTTGTTTAAGGCTGCTTATCTGGACATTTGTCCTGTTATTCCTACCCACCCCAACTCCTTCAACCCTCCCATGCTCCTTCCCTCACGACGATGTTGTAAATTGCAGTATCTGGCCCCCGAGGTGCTACGAAAGCAGCCGTACGATAAGACGGTGGACTGGTGGTGTCTTGGAGCGGTGCTGTATGAGATGATGTATGGATTGGTAAGGAAGTCTTTAATTGCTTCTCGTCCCCTTCAGCCCTGGATCTTCCAGCCATGGACACTTATGAAAACTGAAGTTGCACATGTGTGATGGCATCGGTGTTCAAATTTCAAATATGCCAACACTTGAGATGGAGATACAGTGGCAATTCTATCTCATTTGCTGCATGACAACAAAAAATTATATTTTTTAAAATTACTTTGGTTAAAAACAGTGAAATGGAATTGTTGTTTTTGCTCGTGGAAGGTAACTTCATTCTCTGTGAAGGATGTGTTCCTTGTGTGAAGTCATCTTGACAGTGTTTTTATGAAATAAAAAGAGTTTGGAACAGGAAATGTCTTGGATAATCGATGATGTAATAAACCCTGTTCAGCCTGTTGTAAAAAGTTGGAAGAGCAGGAAAACACATGCAGTTCTCATTTGAACTTTCCAATGCTGTCATTGTACACTGTGCATAATTAACAAACTGTGGGGATTCCAGGTAAGAATTGATCCACAGCAGCCTATGCCGGTCGTATGAGGCGACCAAATAGATCAGGTGGTCAGGCCGGGTAACTTGGTTGTCAGCATGTCTTTGTACACCGATGGAATATGTCGTTGCTTACAATATCAATCACTGGATTGTCTGGTCAGGATTCGATTATTTTACAGGCCCCCATCATATACTTGGAATATTGTTGAGTGCAGCGTTAAACAACCAGCAAACAATCATTCAGAATGACAATAAGAATATAGGGAAACACAGTTTTATTGACTTAGGAAAGATTCTTGTTGCATGTGTGGAAAGAAAGAGAACACAAAAAACAAAAAACAAACTAAAATTGAAGAGAAACATAAATCAAATCTATTTTTTTAAACTGTGGTAAATCTATCCAGTTCTTTTGGTTAAAATATCTAAGTCTGCTTTGGAGTTGAAGCTTACATAAACATAATCAATATAAGAAGTAATTCTATTTTGGGAGCAAGCATGAACAGTGAATAAGATACAGTGTAACCTAAGGCTGTATTGGTTGGAATGACCTTCAGATATGTCAACTTTTCCTGTGCTGATTTGACAGGTTTCCAGTATAATGACATTATTGTATCACATATCATGGATGGACTCCCAATGTGCAGTCAACAACTAGGTTGTTATAGCAGACAAACCAATTCTTTTTCCAGCCTCCGTTTTACAGTCGCGACACGGCGGAGATGTACGACAACATCCTGTACAAACCTCTACGACTGCGTACCAATGTCTCCTACTCCGCCCGGTCTATATTAGAAGGGGTAGGTCGCAATGATTATGAGTTTCAGGAGAAATCACTGAAGGATCACTGTTGATTCACGCAGTAGAATCAGCAAGCCTTCAAGGGGTGAGTTGATTCTTCTTCAGGAATCAACAGATTCAAGATTTCTCAGATTTAAACCATGTCATGGTTGATATGTAATTTCTCCATAATTTGGCATTAGGACCTATAGTTGCATAGGTTATACTGGGTGAGAATCAGTGACGAGTGAGTTCCTGGTTTGAATCAACTGTAACAATAGCTTGATGTCAGTATATTGGTTTAATGTTGTGAAGATACCCGGAATACCTTATATCATCCCAGAGGTTTTCTGAAATCAATGAATAAAACCTGTTCAAGCAGATAGATTTGGATGTACGATTCAAAATTGAATGATGGAACTTTGCTCACATTGAATTGCCAGGCAAAAGAAAGAATACAGCCATGTTTGATGGTGGCTGAAATGAAACACACAAGAAATGGTTATTAAATGGTGATGTATTAGAAACAGGTATCAAAGTTGAAATTTGGACCTTACATTTCGGCAACTGTTTCCAGCTAAATAATGCTTTGATAATGTTTGTAATTTATTGTAAAAATCTAATTTTCAAGCGTATACTTTCTTTTGCCCGTCTGTGAATGTGTGAGTGGGTCAGGTTTAGTAGTATTGCATTCATGATGATGATGATGATGATGATTATTCTCAGCTACTTCAAAAAGAGAAGGAGAATCGCACTGGCGCCAAGCGAGACTTCCAGGAGATTCAAAACCATGCCTTCTTCGTGGAAATCAACTGGGCTGACCTTGATGACAGGAAGGTCAAACCTCCGTACAACCCCAACGTGGTGAGTGGCGATGCAGGGATAACAGACATCAAAGATATATCTTGATACTAGTAAGAAATCAACACCCATTCCTCAAATAATGAATAGATTTGGGGAAATAATTGTTAATTGTGCTGTTTTGTTTGTTTCAGAGTGGTCAGTTGGACTTAAAACACTTTGACCCAGAATTTGTTCGTGAGCCTATATCTGGTAAGTTACTGTGGAACCATCTTTTAGTGAAATTATAGTAAGTGTCCCGATTTCTGTTCCACAAAGGCACCTTTAGGCTTATTTACTTGTAGCAGTCATATCGATGAGACAATCTCAAAAACCATACTTTGATATTTACCAGTCGCAACATCCTAACTTTGGGTTTACTAATGACAGTTTTATCGATCAGACAATCGCAACCCCCAAACTTTGGTATTTACTAATGACAGTTTTATCGATCAGACAATCGCAACCCCCAAACTTTGGTGTTTGCTAATGACAGTCTTAGTGCTGAGGGGGCGGTCGGGTTGCCTAGTGGTTAAAGCATTCGCTCGTCACGCCGAAGACCCGGGTTCGATTCCCGACATGGGTACAATGTGTGAAGCCCATTTCTGGTGTCCCCCGCCGTGATATTGCCGGAATATTGCTAAAAGCGGCGTAAAACCATACTCACTCACTCACTTAGTGCTGAGCTCACTTTGTGGAATGGTGCTCCAACTGTACGCATCTCATCTACAACTGTCAATGTACTTAATGCAAGTTGTAAATATGTTTTTTCACTGTTATAGCCTCATAACTTATTACACATATCCTCGTCACGATATGGCTGAAATATTGCCGATGTGACGTAAAGCATTAACTCACTCACTATTACACATATCAACACTAGTCTTGTTGATTTAGTTTCAAATCTTACGTCCTGCTGTCCTCCCTCCCTCCCACAGCGTCCATCGGCCGGTCAGCAGGCAGCTGCAAGCTTGTCAGCGCTAGCGTCATGGAAGCAGACGGCGTGTTTGAGGGCTTCTCCTACGTCCCACCGGCAGAGGATGCGTTTGGCTGACAACACATCGTGTATCTGCATTGTACATAGACACAGATGCAACTATTTTTTGTGTGGAGTGAAGACTGACGACTGAATGAATGTGTGATCGTTAATACACTCATGGGGGACGATATCCTTGTGTTTCAAATATCAGTCCTAACATCAGTGAATGTTATTTGCCTGATCAACTGCAGACAATTGACCCTCACGGCATAAAGCTGGACCTACTCCTTCAACATGAAAAGAAGCAGCCTGTTGAATGTCTAAACCTTTGTTATAACAAGGAAAAAGAATTTACACTTACTTGTAATCACTACTAGTACCTCGTGTATAGTGTATACTATTCAGGTTACAGAGGGAAGAATTTTACTACAAATTAAATACACTACTCAACATTTGCTAAGGATAACAGTCACCTTGAGTGTGGTCCTTAGCAAAAATTGAGTAGTATGTGATATGCATATTGAAATGTCCATGAAATGCATCCATCTTTGATGGCAACTAATGAGTGGTAATACTGTTATGATATTACTGAATTTATGGCTCTCCTAGTTAATCAATCCATTCTGTATCGTATTTTCTTTGATTTCATGCTCATCTTCAGTGCACAGCTAGGTCAGATGGGAGCGTTTTATGTGAAGCTGAGATTAGCTTTATCACTACAGTATCTTGACTTTAGGAAGTGGTGTTTGTCATGAAGAATTTATTTGATTGACATGATGGACAAACCTGTTGCTCAGAAATAGAATATTACCACAGCCATAAAGGTTGTCTGTAGAAATGGAACAGATTCACAAAAACTGAAATATATATTTGAGATTAGAGACGACAACTCCAGGCTTCTGGATCTCGTTAGTCTGTTTCGGATTGAGTTTGACCCGCACCCAAGGACGCCAATCAACTGATCACAGCAATTACACTTCACAACAGCGGCAAGACATGGCCAGGACACTTACATCCTCAGGAGAAGACCCATAGGAATGGCCGCTTTGTTTAGATAGGAAATGACAGCATCGAAATGTCTCAGGTTGTTTCAGGAAGTCTCTACCGTAGTCAACCCAGCCATGAGGTCTACCAATTCCAGGAATCCCCATTATAAACTCACAGCACCAGGCTGTTATGGGTAGGTGGAGAGTTCAAGACAATTAGGTGTGAACGTTTTCAAGCCTACTACCATTTTCCATATAGCTAGGATCTACCAATTCCAGGAATCACCATTATCAACTCACAGCGCCAGGTTGTCATGGGTAGGTGGAGAGTTCAAGACAATTAGGTGTGAAGGTTTTCAAGTCCCCCACCATCTATCATATTCCACCATGAGACCAGCTAGGATTTACCAATTCCAGTCATCACTATCAACTCACAGCACCAGGTTGTCATGGGCAGGTGGAGTGTTCAAGACAATTAGATGTGTAGGTTTTCAAGTCCCCCACCATCTATCATATTCCACCATGAGACCAGCTAGGATTTACCAATTCCAGGAATCACCATTATCAACTCACAGCGCCAGGTTGTCATGGGGAGGTGGAGTGTTCAAGACAAAATGATGTCAATGTTTTCAAGTCCCATACCATCTACCATATTCCACCATGAGACCAACCATGGATCTAACACTTCCAGGAATCCCTATCTTAACATGCAGCGCCAGACCAAACAGTTGTTACAGGAGACTGGGTGTGTGAGACCAGCTGGTGCCAAGGTCTTTGAGAAAGCCAATAATGACTTGGGTAAACAATGGTGAGGAGACAGCGCCTACTCCCTCAGCACTCAGACTGGCAGATTGGATGCTGAGCTGGGTATTCAATACGACTGGCACCGTAAACAGAGACTGTCCTACTCCCAGATTCAGGACAGATCTGTTTCTGTCTCAAGGAACATTGACCTCCCAGTGTTGATCTCTTTCCCTTCAGGAAAATTTTTAACTTTTCCAATCCTTAGTGCCATTTCACATCAATCTAAGATAATAAGAAATATAACAATATGTCATTTTCATAAAAACGTTTCCAATTATTGGTGGTGAAAAAGCCTTTAACAACAATATAAGATAAAATAAAATATAAGAATCTTTTACTTTTAAGAAAAAATTTTTTATAAGTGATTGGTATTATGAATAAGCCTTTAACATCAATCTAAGAAATAAAATATAAGGATATGTCATATTCATAAGCAAGTTTACCATTCATTGGTATGTCATGAACATGCCTCAATGTTACCGTAATATAAGGAAATGTCAGAATCTGTCAATCTAGTTTGTCACAGACACATAAATTTTCACAGACAAAATTATATGGCTGCATAAAGTGCATTACAATTTACAATTCAAGAGTATTTCTGAAAACCAGACTTCATGGTAATCTTGGTGAATTAATCTGACCTGAAGCCATTGTGTACATTCATTCTCTGGCAAATCATTTGACATTTTCGTGGCATGTCGGTTTTTTTTGCAGCACTCAATAATAAGAATCAATGCAAATTCCTCACTAACAGTCACTAGCATGTGTCGGAATTACATCTGACAAGGGCAGTTCCATAACAACGCCATCAAACACAAAATAGAATCTATTTGATTATCAGGCTTGCATATTCATTTAATGGTAGGAAAAATATTTGGTAAAGCAATTACTTGTCAATGTCATGATTAATTTGTTGAATTGCACAATTTTATTTCCTTGGATAGGTAAGCAGCCAGGCTCTGTGCATGAATTTTCATGATTCGTTAATGCGTAAGTGAAATTGCCTGATGGATATTGATTACTGTGTGATGCAGCTTGTGGCTGAAGCGGCTGTGAAGTAGCGTCCACCGTTGATTACGCCATGTGATTGTGTCCGTCCCGACTTACGTAATCGCCTTCCTTTCCTCCTTGTCACTGATGTAGATTCTGCATGCGGTACCTGTGCTGCTCTCTGGGATTATGTTTGTTCCAGTCGATGCTAGTGAGAGTCCGTAGCAGAGAGAGAAAATAGTAGCCCAACAGGTCATGTGCTTGCTTCTGAAATAGATGTTCCAGGTTTAATTTCCATATATCTTGGCCTCTTCTGCCTTGGTATTGTGTGTCACAATCGAAAACATTTGTGATGTACAGTGATCCCTCACTACAATGCTACCCTCGGGGTCCAAATAATTGATGAGCGTTATAGATGATCAGTGTATATCTTGTTGCAGGAACTTTCAACACCAGCATACCATGATGTCTTAAGGGGCAGTCAGGTGGCCTGAACAGAAGGCCAGATTTTCATTCTCGTTGTTATAATTGGTAACCCCACAGGAAATGAATTATTAGGTTTTCATACTAATGATTAAAAAATGTAAGGAGGGAGACATTTTATTTATTAAGCACAAAATGAAATTTACTTGAACATGAATGTCAAGTTTGACTGTGCATCTGGTGTGAACATTTTATAATTAATATGTCATTGTCTTAAATCTGTTCTATCAGACTCTTGCTGCACTATGGCACTAAGTCTGTCTTCATTATCAACATAAGCCAAGTCATGAGTACCAAGACCTGTTCACAAAGAAACCTACCTGGAATCACTCGCTTAATTAGCAAAATTTTCTTTGATGCTTTCTGTACAGGTGAAACATGTTAATCCTTCAAAACCAAAGATTTTGTAGAAAACATTATTATTTATCTCTAAATCTCTAAATGGGTATGTTTGTGTTTTGTGGGTTTTTGCAAAGACATCAACTGTTTCGTAAATTGTAGTTGGAAAGTGGCATCTCATACCCCTATGATATGTATGGGAGTTTTATACCGAGACTGACATGGCATATTTATGCTGTAATCTTTTAAGGAGTATTTTGTTTGAATTCTTGTCACCATTTTCATCACTGTATAAACATTAACTACTGGTAGATAGAATATTTGGCAAGATTTACATGAAATATTTTGTAAGAAAATAGTTAATCATATTGTTACGAAGACTATTATATTCCTAGAAGTTAAAACTGCACACCATTTGTAATGCATATGAGGAATTCAACATATAAAATCTGATCTGGTAGTTTAATAGTTTAATTCCTTGTTGCTAAATTGTAAAGATACAAACCATTTTAACTCCAAATGATAATACGGTCAACATGGTCAAATGACATTGACAAAAGAGGAGGTTATCAAAACCATACACAATGAGTTATATCTGTTTGCAGAGATAGAGTGCCAGTGAATAAACAAAAGTTCATGAAACTAAAAAACATTTGTTAATTGCTACAAGGGAATATATACCCATTAAGCCCACCTGTGTTCTGTAAAAAATAATTGGTAATATACGCAAGCAAATACAGACTGTCATATAAATTGTCAGGCATTGTTCCGGGCAGTCAGAAAAATGACGTACAGGTTGGTCTAAATGTAAGTCAGGGGGTGCAATACTGGAGCAGGGCGTCGAATACATCGAATACGGTAGTCGTGTTTGTGTTATGAAATTGATTATATCGTGGGTGCCCTAGAATAACATGATTAATCATGATAACAGAATTATCAGGCTGCTTGTGCAGTAACAGTGCGACAATGTGTCAGGACAGTCACTGACCCCAGTAACAACAAGCGGTTGTCAACGACTACAACATAAGATACCAAAAGTTTTCTTCATAAATATTAGCGATCAATTATGTAGTGTCCTGGTTTCATTTTCACAACAAAATTAGTAAATATGAAACTATCAGTCTTGACCTGTATGAATCTGATTCCTTGAGATCATCGAAGTATTACATACATGTACGGTAATCAAAGTCCCTTTTGACTTTCGCAGGGATATATTCTGGCATTTTGTTGTGATTTGCTGCATGTAGTATGTATGAAGACCGTCGCCCTTGTGTGATACAGCTGCAGTAAGTGCCCCACCATTGATGATGTACCCAAGGGCCTGGGATGATGGTGAAAGAAATAATCTTTTGCTGAATATCCTTGAAAATGATAATCTGTTCTCAAATATCCTTGAAAAGAATAATCTATTCATGAACATCCTTGCAGAGAAACAATTGTATGGTTTGAAGCACTGACTCAATAAATATTCTGTCTCAAACATAACAGATCAGACCATCCCAGAATATTAAATGGCTTCATTTTCTTATTCATAGACTTCCCAGTGTTGATGTCGGAGTCCCTCTGAGGTGCTCCTGTATATTATACAGGGGCCAATGATCAGCGTAGTACCACTGTTGTGTTTTGTACTCAAGCTGAGACCGGTGTATTGCCATGTTACAATCTATCATTGTAACTCCTGTTGAGTTACTACCCAATCGCTTGTAAAATATCATTTACCGGAAAGTCAATTTTCATTAATTCAATGATAGTATTTCACTTTAAAAATACTTTTTTTGATTAAGACAGTTTGAGATTAAATGTGTTTTATTGGATTGGAATGGATTTTAAAATTGGATTCTTGCCTTTGGTTTTATGAGGAAATTTGTTTTAAGTGATATCCAATATTTTGATATTTGAGTGCAAATTAAGTTATGCTTCTTCTAGCTGATATTGTTTGGTTTGTTTGAAATATATTTTTTACCTTTATGGCTTTATTCAATCTTTTTGTAAAGCTATTGTAAATCACATTTCACCTAGATAAGTTTTGAAGATGGATGCAGTCTAGGGACAAAAATCAATTGAATTAATCCGTAGAGGTCCTTTCAGCATGTCTGTCACAGATGAGTAGTATTAGACTATCTCGGGTACCGTGTATAACTCTCCAGTGCTCTTCCATTAACAAATGTCATGCTCCAGACAGAAATATGGGAATAAAATATGTATTTCCCCGGGAATAACTCCGTGTCAGTGCCAGGGATAAGGGCAACAGGAATGTTGTGGAGACAAATTGAGAAGCCCAGGTGTTAAGATAATTTTACTTATTGTCTGAAAGTATCTTTTCTTTCATTCAGTTTGATTCTGTCAAATTCTTACACACACCAGTACCAGAATCATGAGGCTGCTCGAGTCCTTCAGCAGTGTTGGAAACATTATCTTTGCCTTCCAGTCAAAGACAGGTAACTTCAAGAATGGTTCTTCTTAGGAAAATTAACCATTTTCTGTCAATATTATCATGATATGTAGGACATCTTAGGATTTGGAGCATTTCAGGCCCGCTTCCCCCTCTCTATTAAGGTTAAAGTGTTGAAGGCTGAAGCAGGTTTAGCCAAGTAAGGAAGTAAACAGTATTATTACATAGTGACAAGTCGGACTGTAAGTAGGGTAAACTACAGTTGTAACAAACTCAAAGGGACCACCCATTTTAGTATGTGATAACTGTAGTTCATAATAAGCATACATGTATATGTAGCATATGTACAGGAGATGGCCGGAACAAAAAAACACACCAAAAGTTTAGATTTGTACCCCAAGTAACTTACACTAGTTGACAATATTTAAGATTAAAAGAATTGTTAAATGTGTACCAATTATTGTTGATATGTTTCATTTACAAATAAATATTGATGTTACTCAACAAAAAAGTTTCTTTAATAATCAAGGTCATTGGGGATTTCTTTAGTTTCAAATAGAATAGGTTTCCTTGAAAATATTGTTCTCGTCTTAAAATTAACCAGCTGATGTACCGATAATACAAATGTAATGGGTATAGGCCAGTCATGAAACGCTGACATCGTCAATACTTCACAGGTTTGTATACTCTGTGTTCTTCCAAGATGGAAGGTGTTGTATACAAACCCATGGAAGTTTGATGATCCATGCAGCAGAAGCAGATATGTATTATGTCACATAGCTTTAAGTACTTAATACCATATTCCACGTAATAAGCGCCCAGGGCGCTCTCAAAATTAGAAATAGGGGGCTCTTATTAGAATGTTATTTTGGGGAAAAAAACAGAGTTGAAAGATAAATTTTGTTGTTTATGCTGACAGCCTGAAATGTTTATGTACAACAGATATATTTTTAATGAATTAAATGCCCATAATTAAGGGTGCATATAACACACGAGTTCGTATTATACACGAAATAAAGAAGTCTTGTGTACATTGATCAATCGGAAGGTGTGCTAATTGGGATTGTTCACTAGCCAATATCTCAGCAAATTTCGCTGTGGGCGCTTATTGCGTCCAATACGGTAACTCAATTTCCATTTATTTATTGTGATCAGGAAATATCTGAACCTGATCGAACCAAATTTGTCTCATCTGTAACTAGTTAAGCGTATGGGTTGATTAACATAATGGTAGATGTGAAACATGTTACCATTACCCTGACAATGATGATACTCAATAAATATGTGTTCACCAATTCCAGCTTTGTAATTCACCAGCCATGCAAGCAGTCAGTCTAAGGGAGATAACCCTGTAAGCCCCGTGAAGTGTACACTTATCCAGAACAAACATTCCATTTCATGTTCCATTATTTGTTGAGCAATGTTCTTCCTACATATCAGAGCATTCCACACAATATGATGTTTTTAGCATCAGAATTTATGTAATTGACAAAATAATATAAATTAATCCTGGTTGAAATTATACAAAATATTTTACTTTTATAATATGTCAATTGAGCAATATTTACCTAATGTTATTCTACACTGTTTTCAATTGAGTAACTTAATCTCACTTTAGATGTTTCATTGATTGTATGAAAAAATGATGAATTAAGTTTCCAAATGTTCTGCATTAAGCAGGTATACCCTCTGTTTTAACCCCGTGTTGATGAAATCTATATTGGTATAGTGTTGATATTGTGTATATGTAAATAATGATATAACAATAACCAAGAATCGAGGAAATTATGTACATAGTTTGTAATATTTGCAACATGTATACTACGGAAATAAATCTTGCAGGTACGAGTCAGACAAGGTTGATATGGCCAAGTAAACTATTGAATATTATCATTCACGATTTGGGCCTAGGTCTATAAGGTGATCTTAGGACTACTGCGATTGTAACTCCTCACTTTAACATATCGACAGTGTGTATTCTGTAGTATTAACTAGGCACCATATTCACACTTTTAATTACAACATACAACATGAGGAAATCACTCACAATCTTAACAGTTTTGCATAATACTATAATTACAGGGCAATGACGTCACTTGGTGATAATGCAGTGGCGTCATGGTTTAATGCCCCGTGAAGATCCGGGTTAGAATTGGTCTAAGAACCCATTCTTGTCATAAAAGGCGACCAAGGGTATGGGATCGTTGGGCTCCCTGACTTTGTTGATGTATGTCATCTATCCCATTTGCGTAGATCGATGCTCATGATGTCTGGATTGTCTAGTCCGGGCTCAATTATTTACATACAGCTGGTATATTGCAGAGTGTGGCGTTAACCAACAAACAAATTGTATTGAAGTTACTGTGGCACTACGCTGAGTCACTTTGCAGTAAGCAATATGCAACCAATCACAGGATGGGTATCAGCCCACATTTTATATAATGCCATATCTCTGATAGGCCTTTAGTCTGTGATTCTCATCAACGTCCCTTCATACTGGTGGTCAATTGCCTCCAAATATGTCGTCAAAGGACTTGATTCACCAACTACAGTTTGAATTGCCCAGAAGCACAAAATCATATCAGCAGACATCCTAAGGTTTTGGAAACTCTGGCAAGGTATAAAAATATTTTTGAAGTTCCGATTTGTTTTGTGTGATGTTTTAGTTGTATATTTTAATCTGTGTTTTTCATAGATTCGATGCATTGTTTCAATGAAATGTAAGAATGGTTCCTGGATTCCAGAGATTGTGACTGTCAAGATATGGAAATTATTATTCTACGACATTTTCATACATTTGCAAACAAAATTATGGATGCAAGTGTTTGGCATGGATCGAGAAAGGTATAAGCCATGGTTGTTTTCAAATATTAAGAGTACAAATATGACTTCCTCAGTTCTCTCCCACTGTATGCAATACTTCCTTGCCAAAAATGTTTTATATGACTCAGGATTCACATCTAGATAAATAATTTTTGGCCAGTTTGAGATCAATCTCTGTCTTATGTTTCCTGAAGTATCTACCTGATAAGACTTTTTAGTGTTTCTTGATCCATGTTCCATAAAATCAATGTTAATTTTGTAAAAGTTGTTGATTTAGTGCTATAAACTTATTTGCACCATTGAGTTTTGTGAAAAAGTGAAACTGAAAATATCTGATCCAAGTGATATAAATAAAGATGATTCAAGCAGAACAAGCGCTGTTGTTGTTCTGTTGTGTATATTGCAGCTGTGCAAATGACTGCTCAGGTGGTTTTGTGGTCAAAGGCACAACACTGTAGGAAGAGTTTTCTTCCTTATAGCCTCTCTCTCTCTCTCTCTCTCTCTTTTTCCTCCCTCTCCCTCTCTCTCAATCCTCCCTCTCTCTCCTCCCTCTCTCTCCCTCCTCCCTCTCTCTTTCCTCCCTCTCTCTCTCTCCTCCCTCTCTCTTCCCCTCTCTCTCCTCCCCCTCTCTCTCTCTCTCCCCTCTCTCTCTTTCCTCCCTCTCTCTCCTTTGCTGTACAGAGTTGCTTCCCTTAGAGGTGCCAGAAACCTCTGACCATGAGTTTTCAATCCCAGTCCAGCCAGATTTATGTTTCCAGATTTGTCAGCACCACAACCACACTTGGGTTTCACCAAGTGGTAAATGTCTAGGTGTTGGGCTGTTCTTTCCAAATCAAGCTGACACCTTGGGATTATAATTGAAATACTTTCAAAGCAGTGTCAAATTTATTCCCATTCATCAAAGTTCTCAGTTCACTGCTGCGTTGTCTGACGTACTACTGCATGTAATCCTTAGTCCAACCAGAACAATCAGGTAGTGGGTTCGAATCCCTGCCTTGCCCAGATTACGATGATCCATGGTCTGTCTGCACCAAACTGTACAATAGGTTTTCATCAGCTATCACTATGGGCTTTTAAAATACAAACTATAGGAGCAGACACTCTATTCAAAAGGAGTGTACCTTACTCATGCATGATATCTCAATGGGCTAACACTACATATATTAGTACAACAATCCTGAACCTGACGTTAAACCCCATTTGAACTCACCTGACCAGTTAAGATATAAGCGTTCCTCCAGTCGTATGACCTTCAGGGAGATGGCTGTCATTTTGCACAGATCCTAGTGTCGTGGTATTTGAAACATCACGGCGATCTCTTATTGAAAGAAGCGGCAGTAAAATCTGTCGCTCTCTGACGTCCTGGTCGATGATTGATAGCTGTTGACGTCAGCGTACACGTGGTGCAAACAGTGGCGTGGAGGCTTCACGTGAATCACACACAGGTAGGTGGACAGTTTAACGCAGGCGGTGGTAAATGCACGTGCACCTTAACATTCCTTTTAGTCACGCTCCATTTGTTAACGTTAAGAGGGTGTTTGTGTAACCCGGAAATAAATATAACATGCACTGTGCGTGTGAATTATGTGTGATGTTAGAAATGCATGTTAAGCATCAGTTGTCATGGCGTTACGACTCAACACAGGCTGCGTTTGACTGCATTATCCACTGTGTTAACGTTTCTAAACATCCTGAATGAGGTCAGGTTGAATCACAGGTATTCGTAACTGCACAATCCGTGGGGAATCTGAGTTACAATAATTGTCCCCACCAACCTGCCCTTGTCGTAAGAGGGACCCGTGAAGATCCGGGTTAGAATATTGGTCTTCAGCAACCCATATTTGCCGTAAGAGGCGACTAACGGGATCGGGTGGTCAGGCTCGCTGACTTGGTTGATACATGTCATCGATCCCAATTGCGTGGATCGAAGCTCATGATATCAATCACTGGATTGTCTGGTCCAGAGTCGATTATTTACAGACCGCCGTCATATAGCTGGAATATTGCTGACTGCGGCGTTAAACAACAAACAGAAGCAAAAAGAACAACGTCAGAGGCGACTAAATGGATTGGGGGTCAGGATCAGTGACTTCGTTCATTTCATATCATCGTACCCCGACGGCGTGAATCGCTGCTCATGATATCAGTCACTGGATTGTCTGTTTAAACTCGATTGTTCACAGGCCATAGTTTAAACTTGAATCTAGGTGAATGCGGCGTTAAATACACTTTTGGGTCAATCAATTATATTCCACAACAACAGGGATAAACAAGAAACAAACAAGCATAGCAATACACAAATAGAAAACATTTATTGTATCACCACTGCATATAACTATGCATCCCTGAATTATTTGTGCACAGCTACGAATTCTTATTCCGCGGAGTCAAGTGTGTAAAGAGACTCAACAGAAATATACTCAACAACAAAAGTTCCTGTGACACCAATGTTATAGTGTATTTGTAAAGTAAAGTTTGGTTTTCAATATTGTAGTACATGAATGGAATCAGGTCACAAAAACGCAACTGCTACAGAAAAGCATGCATTCCATGCAAACATTGACTTTTATGCAAGCCCCATGCATTTCACTACCCAAGAATGGGTATAGGAACATGTGCGTTAACGGGATTCCATATGCATTGTTTAGCATCGTGCTAACAACCACTCAGAAAAACAATAAAATTACGCAATTATTCAACATTACGAAATGCCACGCCTGTCCGAAAATGAGCGTCTGCGAGCCATTGGTATGCTTGAAGCAGGATCGAGTCAACGTGATGTTGCAAGACAATTTAACGTCCACAGAAACACCATTTGGTGTTTATGGCAACGTTGGCAACAGACGAATGCAGTCAGAGACCATCCTCGGAGTGGCAGGCCACGTGTAACCAATAATCGACAAGACAACTGGATTGGAACAACACACCTACGAAATGGATTCCAGCCAGCAACAGTGACTGCAAGAAGCATCCCTGGCCTTCGACGAATATCTTCACAAACGGTACGTCGTCGCCTCAGATGTGCAGGGATTGTCGCCACAAGACCCACCAGACGTCCCATTTTGACAGGAAACCACCGCCAAGCACGTCTACAGTGGTGCAGACACCGTCTACGCTGGACGGCCATGCAGTGGGGACAGGTTCTATTCACGGACGAGTCTCGTTTTCGACTCAGCCACAGCGATGGAAGGATTCGAGTGTACCGACGTCGAGGTGAACGTTACGTCAATCATTGTGTCATGGAAGAAGATCGGTTCGGGGGCGGCATCGTTATGGTATGGGGTGGGATTACAGCAAGACAGAGGACCCGTTGGATGGTGGTAGAGGGAAATCTCAATGGGCAGCGCTACCGCGACGAGATCATCGGCCCTGTTGTTCTACAGTTTTTACTTCGTCATGGCCCAGGCATTACCTTTCAACATGACAACGCCCAGCCTCATATTGCTCGACTTGTTCAGGATTCCCTTCAACAAAACAACGTGAATGTCATCCCCTGACCGGCTCGCTCCCCTGATCTCTCACCGATCGAGCACATGTGGGATGAGATGGATCGGCGCCTTCGACGTCAACCACGTCTTCCACAGACACTCCAGGAACTTCGAAACATGCTTAAGCAGATATGGACAGATATCCCACAGGACTTTGCCTGGTCCATTCCATGAGACGAAGATGTGTTGCTTGCATCGCAACCAGAGGTGGACACACACGCTATTGAATTGTAAATTGACATTTTGGCATGTTCATGGTTTTTTTAATGAAATCACGCATTTTCTGAAGTCAGTATGGCAAATTAAACCATTTGAACACTTACAGGAGTCTTTTATCTGTTGCAAACCGAAATTGTTTCAGATTTGGTAAAAAACATAACTTTGCATTAAATCTTATTCAATGTCACAGGAACTTTTTTTTGTTCAGTATACACTGCAGAGTCAGCCGCGCCATGCGACGATATACAGCTCTTCACGCCGCTATTCTTTTCCTCGAAGTTCCAGTGCATGGCTCATTCATGTGCCTTTAATGGAGCCCAGTTTTAAAAATTGAATTGGAAGGACTCTACGGTGGATCTCTAACACTCCTTGGCCCCGTTCCACAAAGCGATCTTAGCGCTAAGGTGATCGTAACTCACATACTTTAACAAAGGCTTACGATAATCGTAGCCCTATGATCGCGTTGTGGAACGAGAGCCTGGGGGTGAGGTGAAATGGGGTTTATCGTCGTGTGCTAGATGACGTGTATGCATGTGTGGCTGCTTGTACTAGACCCCTGAGATTGCATGCCGCAGTTGGCGTGGATACCCCGCTCAGACTCCTTGTTTTAGATCCAAAATGCCAAGCGCCAGGCAGGGTAACAATTAAATGTCATCTTTTAACGTCGCGATCAGGGGATCGAACCTCGGACTTTCCGCACTCCGGGCAGACGCTGTATCCACTACACCACGAAGTCGGTATATAGAAATAGAGGAGATTTACATGTACACTGGCAATTGCCATCTATGAATATAATTGACGCAATCGTTAACCACAAATAATTACAAAGTTATTGAGTATAATTTTGTGTTAGTTACGCTGGTTCGGAATATATAACATTAATAGCTGCTTGAGATGATAATTTAACTTTTATTTCTAATGATACGTTACAATTAGTCAGAAGAAATAAATATGCTATATATAATAGAGCGACGATAATGCCGATTGTCGTTTCATGCTAAGGTTGGTGTTACTGATGGTGGTGTCTGCAGCAACCAAATATGCATATAAATCGACTGATAGAACTCACGTCTACAATATGTATAGGCATGAAACTAATTCGATTTTCAATATTTCAGTATTAATATGGATCGCTGGCAGGGTCGCGTTGCCTTGGTAACAGGTGCGTCTATGGGAGTAGGGGAAGCAACTGTGAAGTTACTTGCCTCTTATGGGATGAAAGTTGTGGCCTGTGCAAGAAGCGAAGACAAACTCAAGGTGCGACACGCGAATAATCCTTCATTGTTTTCATACATGTTACTGTTATATACTTCTAAAAAATTAACACAAACCTCAAAAGAATCCGTTGACACGGGAGTTATGAGTGGGCAGGAGTTGTTGGAAATCAAACTGATGACCAGTCCTACGCGCAAAGACTACCACGACTGGCCTCAAAACCTCATCACCACAACGAAACCCCGGAAGTTCACCAACAAGACGGATAAAGACTTTGGTTGAGCTCTAGGTGATGCCAGCCCACACTATCACTGAGCAGCTAATATGTTGGAGTTGTGCTATGGTACACTACTTAGTGGGGCTGTTTGTAATGCGAGGTGAGGTGAAATGGGGTTTAACGTCGCGTGCAAGATTATTGCACATATATATAGCGACGTGTGTTTGTGTGTGCGCATCTTCCCGAGGCAAGAGAGTTAACTGACTTTAAAAGTCGGGATCGGGTGGTCAGGTTCGCTGATTTGGTTGATGCATGTCACCGTATCCCATTTGCGAGGTATTAATCACTGGATTTTTCTGGTCCCGACTCGATTATTTACAAACCGCCGTCAAAAAGCGGGACCGTTACTGAGTGTGGCAACTCCGATGGAAGCCAGTTGTGGATGATAAAAGCAACAATGTCCCACTATTCACGTACCTGTCTTGGAACCCGTGATGATCCGGGTGGAATTGGTCTTCAGCAACCCATGCTTGCCGTAACAGGTGACTATGCTTGTCGATAGAGGCGACTAACGGGTTCGGGTGGTCAGACTCGCTGATGCAATTTCCAAATTGCGTGGATCGATTGCCATAATGTCAGTCACTGGATTGCCTGTTCCAGACTTGATTATTTACAGACCGCCGTCATATAGCTGCAATATTGTCGAGTACGGCTTTAAACAACAAACAAACCTATCATGGCTACGCATGGGTGACAAAATGCATGATTTGCATGTTTTCTGCATACATTTTCCACAAAGATGTTGTGTTTGGGTACATTCAACTGGGAATAATTCCTTCAACAGTTGTCTTTGAATGTGCCCGCCATATGAGCCGTTTCTAACAATCATTCACGCGAGCACCTATTTTCTGTATGTGTACATAACATACACAAAGTATCTGATATAGAAAAAGGAAACTTTAAAACATATATTTCTCCCCAGAAACTTTCTGATGACGTTTCATCCTCTGGGCGGGGCGAGGTTCTGCCAATCAAAGTAGACCTGCGGAAACAGACTGAGATATTGGCTATGTTTGAAAAGATCAAAGGTCAGTGGGGCGGCGTTGACGTGTGTATAAACAACGCTGGCCTCGCTCTGGATGCACCAATCATCGACGGCGACAGTGAGCAATGGAACAATATGTGGGAGGTATTCCTTTTTGCAATTATAGTTTATGATGTGTTATAAAGACATGCAGTGGCAATCTCATTAAAATCAAATCTTAGTTCTCGCTATCGCTAAACAAAGATCTTAGGACATCCCATTACGGGTCACGTCAGAGCGACCTTTCATCCGACCAATCAAAGCGTCGCTTACCAGATCATGAAAGTGACACTCGGAATGTGTTTTCTAATCATGCAACCTCGAAAACGTCAACACGGGGTATTATGAACGACAGTTATGACCCGTACGACCGATTCCTTCAAAATTATTGTCTATCTCTCGCTTCCGTGGGATAAACATTTGAACGGAGGAGGCGTTGCACAGTACGTGGGAAGCACTGCCATACAATCTCAACCATATATTAGACATTCCGGAATTTTCGTTTGTTCAGATTTCAAAATCTTAATCGAGAACTGTGTCAACTTATTTTCAAACGTAGTCTGAAATGGAAGTCGCCAGGTTGAAATGAGTGCCGTAAAGCTCGAGAAAGCTGCTTTCTAATTGGCTGATGTCAACTTCTTGTTAGTCATTCAGTGGTCGGTCAAAGTAGCGAAAGGTCGTTCTGACGTGACCCGTAATGGGATGTCTTCAGATCTTTGTTTAGCGGCAGCGTGAACTTAGATCTGATTTTAATGAGATTGTGCAGTGGTGGATCCGGGGACGGGGGGTCGTCTTTGGGTGGACTCCACACACACACTGAAGTTACATGTGAAGTCAAGTCGAATTGAGCCAAGTCATCTTCGAATAATAGACTCCATTGTGTTTTATAATTGAGAGTATGTATAGAAAACTAAACGAGCTACCGTGTAATACCGATTTTAGGACAACTCACTGTCATTAAAATTGGTAAATAGATTTCCATTACATATAACTATGTTGCAACCTCTCCATATAATAAAACAGTAGCAAAGCGGCCTTGGAGTGGGCATCTTCCCGAGGCAAGAGAGTTAACTGACTTTAAAAGTCCAGCTTCCACTGGCATTTTATAGTCAGTTAACTCTCTTGCCTCGGGAAGATGGGGAGTGGGGTGGATGTAGGCAATTCCGAATATATGTTGACTATGTTGTCACCTATATAATGCATTGCTGTCTGTAGGTGAATGTCATGGCCCTGTGTCTGTGTACGCGAGAGTCCGTCAAGTCCATGAGGGAGCGGGACGTGGACGATGGTCATATCGTCAACATCAACAGGTATTGTAATGGCTGGCTAAAGTAACCGCCCCGGGTTCGTGTACAGTTGAACCCAGGTACTTCGGTCACAGATTTCTCTTAAAGGGCAAGTAAAGTCAGCATAGCAAATTTGAAATGTTAGTTTATTTAAGGCATACTCACAAATGCTTGACCAAAATTCAATTTGAAAAATGGAAATAGCGTAAAACAGACGATAAATAACGAAGGCGAAATCGTCTCCAAAACGGAAAATTCCACTGTACTGAGGGGATTTCTCTCACTTGGATTAAAACGGGTTCCCGGTGTTTGACGCGCTGCGCTATTTCATCGATCTGGCCGGTGCCAAGTCTGCATTGTGGTTTATTTTCGGTCTTCCTACTTGTCCAGCACCTATTGTCAAAGGTACAAATTCACCCGAGCATGGTGATATTAAAATTAATATCAATGAGTGAGTGAACATAATATTAATCATTTAGGACAATTTGGGCAATAAAAGGAGTTGCAGACAAGAAACAATATTCCACTGTGACTAATGCGCAGGTTTATTTACAGTTTATTTCCAATTCCAAGAGGGATCGGCACTTGGTTATTGCCGAATACAAGTTCATTATTAAGACCGGATGTCAAATTTCCATTCATTGGAAATGTTCCCAAAGAGGATGCCCGACCACCATCAAGTCCACCCCAACAAATCATCTGGAGGGGTGGCACCCGGATCTGTACAAATTCATTTAGATACAGGAGGCTGACCAACATTATACTGCGACCACGGTCTAGCTAGTTTGATGCCACCCAAGAGGTGGGGTAGAGTCATGGGTTTTTTTTGGTGGGGGGGTTCTTCATTTTTAGAGGCTGAGATTATTTTTCTTCATGAAACAGAGCTAAGATTTATGTCGTATTTCAATTTCAGCCCTATTTCTGGTGCCCCCCGCCGTGATATTGCTGGAATATTGCTAAAAGCGGCGTAAAACCATACTCACTCACTCACTCAATTTCAGCAAGGGGTTTTAGCTGCAGACGAATGATAGTCACCAGGCGCATGGCCTAATTCAGGCAAGCTGGGCGGAAGAGAGACAGGCCAAGGCGTGGCAGACCTCCTGTCACCACCGCCCACGAAACGCTACATGCGTATCCTCCATCTGAGGAACGATATTACCACTGTGACGTCATCCTGTCATTCGCTGGACAGTGCACAGAAGACTGCGTCGCTACACTATTAGAGCTTGCTGACAACTACGAGACGTTACGCCGACACTGCAACTGGTAGAACAGAAACTGGCAAAGAGTTCACAGGAGAGGGAAGATTTAAGCTTTTCCTAGCAGATGGAAAAAATTGTGAATCAAGCAGCAATTTCCCCAGTACCTGATTCACCTTGTTGTGTACTGTCGCAAATACAAGTGGGAACTCCTGGTAGCATTCGGGCTTCCTGCCCACTATCGTAATACTTAGGAACCTTCCAACTATCGTATTACTCATGAGTGAGACAGTTGGGTTTAACGCAGCTTTTAACAGTATTCCAGTTATATCACGGCATGGTATTGTTTGAGGATAGCCCGAATGATGCAGGTCCCAGACGTTTACCATTTTCGGCGAAGCCCACAGGGACGCAGCCCTACACAGCGAATTGATGCGCCGTAAAAGGCTGGGCCACGCGTGCCTCATACAACTCAGGAACTTTCCCACTATCTTAATCCCCCGGAATCTGGGATTTTGTCTGGAAATAAGATAATTTTTACAGCTACAGCTGCAAAACCAGATACAAAACCCAAGAACGAAATAACCCCAGTCCATGTTTGTTTGTTTGTTTGTTGTTTAACCCAACACTCAGCAATATTCCAGCTTTATGACGGCGGTATGTAAATAATCGAGTCTAGACCAGACAATCCAGTGTTTGACATCATGAACATCAATCTACGCAATTGGGAATCGATGACATCCATCAACCAAGTCAGCGAGCCTAACCACCCGACACCGTTAGTCTCCTCTTACAAGCCTCTTACGGCAAGCATGGGTTGCTGAAGACCTATTCTACCCCGGTCACAAGTCCAGCCTCTATCGACATCGGCGAACAATATACCAGCATTGCCACAGACACGTGCACAGGTTGTCTTGACTGTTCGCGGACTCAGAGATACTAGTATTTGCCACAAGCGAGGTGTTGGAGATGTGCCCTGCATGGGTGGACCACTCCACGTCTGTCCTCATCTGTGGCTGCAGTTTTACCTCTATTTGATCAAGCTACAGGAACAGTGAACTTGTGTCAGTGACCTTTGTCAGTCGTAACAGTTAGAGCCAAAACTTATACTAGGCCTTGTATCTTCATATAGTTTAAGGGGCGGTCGGGTAGCCTAGTGGTTAAAGCGTTCGCTCGTCACGCCGAAGACCCGGGTTCGATTCCCGACATGAGTACAATGTGTGAAGCCCATTTCTGGTGTCCCCCGCCGTGATATTGCTGGAATATTGCTAAAAGCGGCGTAAAGCTATACTCACTCACTCACTCATATAGTATATGTATTTGATATATCACTTGACGACCATCACAATGGTGTTTCACTTTTAGTTGGGACTGTGAATTATGTAAATTTGAGATGTGAAGGAAAAATGTATCAAACAATGTATACAGTGATGCTTTTTTAGGGATTAAGAGTAATAGCAGTAACAGTATATGTATAGCTGCTAAGAAGCACACATCAGACAATGAAGACCTTTCTCACGCACCGCTGCATCGCTGCGCCGGTGGTACCTTTAGGCCACGCCCCCAATAAGTTTGTTTTAGAAGCCGATTACGGTGCGTGCGATTTCAGCATATCCGCATGGACATTATAAATACAACAAAAAATTAATAAAAAAACGTTTGTTTCAATCCCATGGGGAATTTAATCGTATTATAATCATACTTAACGTCCCGAATCTATGTAAAAGATGAAATTTAATTAAATTTCCTGAGATGAAATGTTCCACGCAAACTATGCTTGTCTTAACGAACGTAATGGATCATGCGGTCAGATTTGTCTGATTGCGTGGCCAGAGTTGCGTCCCTTGGGCACGTCAAAAAGAAATATGATTATCGGTTCCATTCCCAGTATATCCTGATTATGTTTCTAGGTTTGTCAGCACTATACCCGTGCTCGTGGTAAACCTCTGGGACCTGCCTCACTCCAGGCTTTCCAGCCACAGTAAGCTAGCACGGGTGATATAAGTGGAATACTGTTTAAAGCGACGTTAAACACAACTCACTGATGATATCAGCTGACTGACCCGGCCCGGGCTCACTTGTGCACAGGCCGCCGTGATAAAGTTGGATCTTCCTGAGCGCTGCATAAAGCAACTTTCACTCACTCACCCTTCCTATTTCAGCCTCTCTGGTCACCGGGTTGGGAAGAGTCACTTCTACTCTGCTACGAAGTACGCAGTGACGTCACTGACGGAGGGAATACGGTGGGAACTGAGGGGTATTAACTCCCATATCAGAGTCACGGTGAGTAATCATTTAATCACATAGCAAACCCAGTGGTTCATGCATGGGGCAGGCTGGTGGTTATAGTGTTGTTTCGTTGTTTCGTCTCGTGGAAGATTCCTAACTTTGGTACTGTGTGTTCCCGGCAAAGATGAAGCTTGAATAGTGCTTAAAGCGGCATAAAACAACGCTCACATATGTATTTGCATGTCCAAATTTGAAATATGTTATCGCTGATTTGATATCCTCTAAATTTCATTTAAAACTGAACGAAAATTTTGATTATTTTCGGTGATATTGCAGCTTGAATCTAGAGGTGTATTGCTGTGGATACATATGTGACCTAAATGTGTAGAAAGTAATCCCCCAAACCATGTTAAAATCCCTTATATTAAAACTAGAGCAAGAGTCTTCAGCAACGCATGCTTGTCGTACGAGGCGACAAACGGGATTGGGTGGTCAGGCTCGCTGACTTGGCTGGTGCATGTCATTGTATCCCAATTGCATGAATCGATGCTCATGATGTCAATCACTGGATTGTCTGCTCCAGACTCGATTATTTACAGACCGCCGTCATATAGCTGGAATATTGCTGAGTACGACGTTAAACAACAAATATACAAACTTGAGCAAGACTAGTGTTGTTACAACACACATTGTTCCACGTCCATTATTTACCTACATACCGGAAGTTTGAAGGTTTTCTAGATGATGAGGGATATTATTTCACCAAACACGATGTGCTTTTGGGGTTGTTTACACTCATATATAGTAATTTACAAATTGCACCCGCTTTCCTGAAGATTGTAGAATCTGTTATTTACAAACCGCCTCCGTGGTCTAGTGGTAGAGCGTCCTCCCTGAGAGCGGGAGGTCCGGTGTTCGATCCCCGGGGGCGTCATACCAAAAGACGTTAAAAGATGATACTTCTTGTTACCCTGTCTGGCGCTCGGCATTAAGGGGCTAAAACAAGGACTGGTTTGCTCGGAGTCAGTATACTGTGTCTGAGTGGGGTGTTCACGTTAAACTGCGGCATGGTATCTCAGTGGGCTAGCACTGTAAATCTGCATCAGTCCGGACTAGTACAAGCAGCCACACACACACACACGTCCATGCACGTCGCTATATAGTGCAATAATCTTGGATGCGACGTTAAACCCAATTTCACCTCACCTGACCTGTTATTTACATAACTATATGCCAGCTGCTGGTGATGGCAACACGCGCCAATGGTTGTACACTGGGGTAACAGAGAGATGTATTACGTATATTCGTATAGTATATTCGTTCTCGAAGATAATCTAACTGTGATGAAGTTTTTATATTTTTTGGCTGCAAAGGTCTATACACGGGGCCAGTATCCTGCAGAAAGGTAGTGTGTCCGTCTAACATGCTGTATCTGTATCTATTACTTTACACCTTGAACTGTCGATGTTTTCAGGTGCATTGATAATGGGGGGTACTTGCGTTACATTTCAGAGTATAAGCCCCGGTCTGATAAAAACAAACTTCGCCGAGACGATGCTTGGAGATGCAAAGGCTGCTGAAGAGGTGTATGCCTCCAGACAGGTGATGACCCAGGGAACTAGATCCTCGCGAAGTCTGGACCTACAGACGTTTTCCACGTACAGTAAACTACAGTTATAACGAACTCAAAGGGACCACTAACTTTAGTATGTTATAACCGTAGTTCGTTATAGGCATTTATACAGTATAACAATAGCAAATAGTCGGGACAAAAAATCAGTTCGTTATATCCGTCAGTTCGTTAAAAGCGTGTTCGTTATAAACGTACTTTACTGTACATCATAATAATACGTGTTTTCTTGTTTGATGCATAAGTAATGACACAGGACTACTTTCCTGGGGACTAACAACATATATAAGCTGTTTGTTTGCTAGTGGTAGAACATCCATGTGCCTGTCCTCAAAACACCAGCTGCATGTGACATAGAAACGTGCCATTCTGTACATAGCATTTGTATACCAATGTGGCGCATTCGTCACCACTCGCCCCTTTCCGTAACCTGCAAGAAGCTATTCGGCTTGTCCGGAATGACACGAGTGGTCACGGGGACGTGGTTGGCCCCCTTGTCAGAGGCGCAGCAGTTCGCGCTGCAGAGTTGCGTCCCTTTGGCGTGCAATTACTATGATCCTTTGTTCGAATCTCAGCTTTGCCCAATTATGTTCTAGAAATTTATTAAACCACACCTTTATCATCATCATCATCACTAATGTTTACTGATATCCAATCACAAATTGTATGAGTAATCAGTGCCTGCACAAATTATTGAGGTTGCTGGAGTCTTTATGCTGCTGTCACAGTATTTTAAAAAAGTATGACCACATGGTTAAGGGACAACCCTTTGCCTAACTCTTTGTAACACAAAATACAGTTAATAAAGATAGTGGTCTGATGAGAAACAAGGCTGTAATTTTTGTATTTGTTATTTCTTGCACATGATGAAATTATTAATTTCCTTGTGGATTTGTGAGGATCCTCGCTTCACCTTGCTCAGGTTTATAAGGGCATGATGTACAGTGGTGAAACTGTTTTTATTCTAGGCTCTTACAGCTGAAGAAATGGCCAAGACCATCGAGTTTGTCCTGGCTGCTCCACCCTCTGTTCAGGTAGGTTGTTTGGGAGGCTTCCCTCCGACATACCAGGCAGCACATCTATGCCAGGAAATATGCCAGTAAATCCAGGAATAAACAGTCAGTCCACTTTTCATATAGTATATACAGGTAGTCAGTATTGATCCATGTTGCAAGTGGGGTTTTGTCCAATCTTTTGGGATAAATGTATTTCTTTCCTTAAATAATGTTAATTAAAACCAACTTTCAAGAGGTTTCTCTTAGTATTTTTCAAATAGTGTTTTCAAGTGAGTTTTTTTTAGGAAATTATAGGATAATATTATTTTTATTGCTTCCTGCATCTTGGCATATTGCCCACGAGCATCTACAAAACAAATAAGAAAGATTTGGTGTTATAAATATGATTTCTTGTCAAAGCAAAGGGCACCCCCACCATGGTGATCAGCTTAATATAAATTTTAGGGGACTTCATGGTCAGGCGATTTGTCAAATTTCTGTGCTGTCATTGTTTGAGGGTTGATGTGTTTACATTTTAATTTGCATCCTATCAGGAAATATTTATCAAATTATGAAACACCCAGCAAGAAACATATCTGATTTAAACCACTGCTAATAGCTAACATCTATTATGTCCGAGTCAGCTGTACTTATGCTACTAGGTCTCAGTGACTGGTGGAAGCAGCTATACTTGGATCAGTGCTGTAAGTGTCAAGTATTTACCTGTGTTTTCGACCCGTGAAGATTCCGGGGTAGAATAGGTCTTCAGCAACCCATACTTGCCATAAAAGGCGACTATGCTTGTCGTAAAAGGCGACTAACAGGATCGGGTGGTCAGGCTCGCTGACTTGGTTGATACATGTCATCGATCCCAATTGCGTAGATCGATGCTCATGATGTCAATCACTGGATTGTCTGGTCCAGACTCGATTATTTTACAGACCGCCGTCATATAGCTGGAATATTGCTGAGTGCGGTGTTAAACAACAAACAAACAAACAAAACCTGTGTTTCCAGGTGAGTGAGCTGATGGTCAGACCAACTGAACAAGTTGTGTGACACCCACTGGACACATTCCAGCAAGAAGATCACCAGTATGGCTACTGATGGTGCTACTGATGGTGCTTCAGTGTTGTCTCAGGAGGATGTGCAAGAAGGATCATTGTGCAGTAAAACTCTAGTACTTAATTGTAGGATTTATTCATCAGGGGAATAAAAACCAGCTTGGCTACAGCTGTAGCAAAGCCTCTTGTACCATACTCCTGGGAGCTGTTGTTGTCTCTCCATAGCAGCGAGTCAGTGAGTGAGGGAGGGAGGGAGGGGGTAAGTGAGTGAAGGAGTGAGTGAGAGGGTGAGCGAGTGAAGGAGTGAGAGGGTGAGTGAGTGAGTGAGTGAGCTCCTTTTAGCAATGTTCCATCAATATTATGGTGGGACATCAGACATTAGCTTCACACATTATACCCATGTGGGGAATTGAGTCAGACCTTCATTGCGAAAGGTGAATGCTTCAACCACTAGGCTATCCCACTGTCCCCATAGCAGTGTGAGTGGGTGGGTGGGTGGGTGGTTGAGTGAGTGAGGTGCAAACGCTTCAACCACTAGAATATTTTCATGATCCCTCACTATTTGTGTTCAGTAAAGTATAGCTTGGTCACCACGAAATGATCATACCATGACTATTTATACCAGTGATTGATAGCATGAATGACCATACATGTGAATAAAGTCATGGCGGCCATCCCAAATATGCAACTTCGGTTTCCAGACTGACCCTAATTTGGAGACCTCGACCCTTAACCTTCTCGTTTGACACTATACCTTTCCCATATGTTATGCCAGCAGTTGTAATTGATGTGCTTCACTATAGATAAACCCATCGTTTTCTTCATGACAACCCTTACATATCATTTGAGAGCAGGGTTTAACCATCTTCCCGAGGCAAGGAGTTAACTGACTATAAAAGTCCAGTTTCCACTCTTGCCGAACTAGGCCGGTATTATGGAGTTACATTTTGGCTGGACTAACGAGTCTATGCATAGTCCAATCAAAATCACGGACTGAAATCGAAATCGGGTTCGTAAACTGTCGTGCAGATTTCGGTCGATTGCAGGATTTGCAAAGCATGTACACCGCCAACTCGTTGTCAGCAGATATTTTCAAAATCTTTTCATGTTTTTAATCAAGGTGCTCACGTGATTTGATGCATTTTGCGATGTAAGACCCGTTTTATCACAATATAGATCTTGATTATCGATCAGATCGTCCTGACCGGGTGCAACCATTTTGTGTGAAGCAAACGCAAGTGATGCGAGAGGTGGAATCTGATTGGTCCATAAGAGAGGCTTAGAAAGGACATAACTGGAAATAGCCACTGGTGGGGCTAAGATCGTGCCCAGGAATTCCAGCCAAGTTTGGCACGGGTGGAAACTGGACTTTTAAAGTCAATTAACTCTCTTGCCTCGGGAAGATGGGTTTTACTGACATACACTGCTCCACTTTTGATAAGGGTACATATCTTTCAAAGTATATATTTATATATTATGACATGTCTGTTTATCCCTATCAAAAGTTTGGTAGTGTACTTTCAAAAATAAAAGTAAAAATGACACAAAATTACCTTCCTTATTTTGTGATGGGCTGAAACACGTTGTCCTGCCCAACTTCATCTTCCCAAGGCAAGGGAGTTAACTGACTGTAGAAGTCCAGTTCCCAAGGCAAGGGAGTTAACTGACTGTAGAAGTCCAGTTCCCAAGGCAAGGGAGTTAACTGACTGTAGAAGTCCAGTTCCCTAGGCAAGGGAGTTAACTGACTGTAGAAGTCCAGTTCCCAAGGCAAGGGAGTTAACTGACTGTAGAAGTCCAGTTCCCAAGGCAAGGGAGTTAACTGACTGTAGAAGTCCAGTTCCCAAGGCAAGGGAGTTAACTGACAGTAGAAGACCAGTTCCCATGGCAAGGGAGTTAACTGACTGTAGAAGTCCTGTTCCCTAGGCGAGGGAGTTAACTGACTGTAGAAGTCCAGTTCCCAAGGCAAGGGAGTTAACTGACTGTAGAAGTCCAGTTCCCTAGGCAAGGGAGTTAACTGACTGTAGAAGTCCAGTTCCCAAGGCAAGGGAGTTAACTGACTGTAGAAGTCCAGTTCCCAAGGCAAGGGAGTTAACTGACTGTAGAAGTCCAGTTCCCAAGGCAAGGGGGTTAACTGACTGTAGAAGTCCAGTTCCCAAGGCAAGGGAGTTAACTGACTGTAGAAGTCCAGTTCCCAAGGCGAGGGAGTTAACTGACTGTAGAAGTCCAGTTCCCTAGGCAAGGGAGTTAACTGACTGTAAAAGTGCTGTTCCCACTCTTGCCGAACTAGGCTGGAATTATGTGGTTATATTTTGGCTGGACTAATGAGTTTATGCATAGTCCAATCAAAATTATGCAACGAAAATTGACATCTGGTTCTTTAACTCCTGTGCAGATTTTGATCAATTGAAGGATTTGCAAAGCATGTGTAACACCAAATTGGCGTCAGCAGATATTTTCCAAATCTTTTCATGTTTTTAATCAAGGTGCTGACGTGATTTGATACTCATCACAAAGTAACACCCGTTTTATCACAATATAGATCTTGATTATCCATGAGATACTCTTGACAGGGCACCGGCATTTTGTTTAAAGCAAATGCAAGTGATATGAGAGGTGGAATCTGATCTATGGTCACATAGAAGGAACGTAACTAGTAATAGCCACTGGTGGCGCTACGATCAAGCACAGAAAATTCCAGCCTAGTTCGGCAAGGGTGGAAAGTGGACTTTTATAGTCAGTTAACGCCCTTGCCTCTGGAAGATGCCCTTTTCCTCTGGTGATGCATGTGCGGACATCATGAAGACCTGGAGGTTTTCATGCCAAGGCAGGAACATAAACGAAATGTGGACATTGTTTGGTACGATAAACAGACTTTATTTCCCTGAATATGAGTTATAACGCAAATAACAAAGCTGTGTCTTTTATAAATACAACATATTTTGAAAGTTGGCATATTACATATGGACAAAACAATGTTGACTGACTCTTGGATAACTGAGACAAAACAATGTTGATTGACTCTCGGATAACTGAGACAAAACAATGTTGATTGGCTCTTAGATAACTGTTGATTGACTCTTGGATAACCGAGACCAAAAATGTTGATTGGCTCTTAGATAACTGTTGATTGACTCTTGGATAACTGAGACAAAAAAATGTTGATTGACTCTTAGATAACTGTTGACTGACTCTTGAATAGCTGAGACAAAACAATGTTGATTGGCTCTAAGATAACTGTTGATTGACTCTTGGATAACCGAGACAAAAAATGTTGATTGACTCTTGGATAACTGTTGATTGACTCTTGGATAACTGAAACAAAACAATGTTGATTGACTCCTGGATAACTGAGACAAAACAATGTTTTACACCATCATTTCAGTGTCTGAAACCCTTGAAGTTGGGTGATGTATCACATCTTTATTGTTTGGTGATATATCACATCTCTATTGTTTGGTGATATATCACACCTCTATTGTTTGGTGATATATCACATCTCTATTGTCTGGCGATATATCACATCTCTATTGTTTGGTGATATACAACATCTCTATTGTTTGGTGATATTTCACATCTCTAATGTTTGGCGATATATCACATCTGTTATGTTTGGCGATATATCACATCTCTATTGTTTGGTGATATATCACATCTCTATTGTTTGGTGATATATCACACCTCTATTGTTTGGTGATATATCACATCTCTATTGTTTGGCGATATATCACATCTCTATTGTTTGGTGATATACAACATCTCTATTGTTTGGTGATATTTCACATCTCTAATGTTTGGCGATATATCACATCTGTTATGTTCGGTGATATATCACATCTATATTGTTTGGCGATACATTGGTGAAGAGTACAACAAAGTCTACCAATACATAACATGTATAATGTTTGGTGGCATATCACATCCATACCTGTATAATGTTTGGTAGATATATCACGCCCATGACGTCTACCAATACATGACATGTATAATGTTTGGTGACATATCACATCTATACCTGTATATTGTTTGGTAGATATCACATTTCTAATGTTTGGTAAATATATCACACCCATGCCGTCTACCAATACATCTCATATAGAATGTTTGGTGGCATATCACATGTAATTTTTTGATGTATTTCATATAGAATAATATATAAGTTATTAATATATCCATACACAGTATTTAGATTTATAACACCTAGGTAATGTTTGTCAAAGTATCACATAATATGTGCAGTGATATTGCACATCCTTGACCACTTTATATCAACCCACGATGATCCGGGGTAGAATAGGTTTTCAGCAACCCATGCTTGACGTAAAAGGCGACTATGCTTGTCGTAAGAAGCAACAAGCGGGATCGGGTGGTCAGGCTCGCTGACTTGGTTGATGCATGTCATCATATCCCAATTGCAAGGATTGATGCTCATGTTATCAATCACTGGATTATCTGGCCCAGACTTGATTATTTACTGCTGTCATATAGCTGGAACATTGCTGAGTTCGGCGTTATGATGTAGTTGGTTGGTTGGTCGACTTTTCCGGCAAGCATGAGTTGCTGAAGACCTATTCTTACCCGGATCTTCAAGGGTTGTTATGATGTAGATGGAATTATCTTTTCTGTCTAATCTACAAAAACTTTACACACACAACAACATACCTAACGGGACAGTAAATACTCTGAAAATAAACAAGGCACTGGTTAACATACTGGTAACAATATTCCCTGAAACACCAACATACAACAGTCAAGTAAATAACAGTCTTAAACTCTCCATAGATATTACACAACAGCTTCAGTAACATACACTTCATCTGAAATCCATCAGATGTTATCGTTATAGTGCCCTCCATCACATATGAATACATACAGTCGCTATGAGGCAATGCTATTTTTAACCAACCAATCAAGAGACGAGGGAAGGCAGAGAGTGCTCTGTCCAATGAGCCCTCAGCTTGCAATGCATAAACAACAGTGTCTGGCTGACTGACAACGTTCACCACGAACACACAAGCCATTTGAAAAGTGGACAAATGTTATATTTTGGATAACACTTACTTAGTAAAGTACAGATTCTTGTTCTTTTGGGGTTGAGTCCCGTCCGGGTTTCAAAGCCACACTGCCAGAGTGAGGCACCTAATCGCCAGCACACAAAGTCAGCGATCGAACCCACTTTGTGTGCTGGCTATTAGGTG